GAAGGCACAAGTCTGTCATCAAGGTTTTCAGCCAAAGCAACTCACCTACCCCAAGAGCCATAGCCCTATACTCTGCCTCTGCACTAGATCGAGAGACAACATCCTGATTCTTACTGCGCTAAGTAACCAAGTTACTGCCAATAATGGTACAATAACCTGAAGTAGACCTCCGATCTGAAATTGATCCTGCATAATCAGCATATGTCCAAGCCTCAACACATAAGTGACCATGATTGGCAAACAAAATACCACGGCCTGGACACCCTTTTAAGTAGTGAGGGATCCGAATAGCTGCATCAAGGTGAGGGGCACGAGGAGAGTGCATGAATTGACTCACGACACTCACGGCATAAGCAATGTCAGGTCGAGTCATGGATAAATAGATGAGCTTCCCCACAAGTCGTTGATACTGACCAATATCTGACAACAACTCCCCCTCAGAATTAGGTAATCGATGATTCTGCTCAATCGGAGTATCAGCAGTATGAGCGCCAAGCTGCCCAGAAGCAGAAAGTAAGTCAAGAACATACTTGCGTTGAGAGATGAAAATGCCAGTCTTGGAGCGAGTCATCTCAATGCCCAAGAAGTATCGTAGGGGACTAAGATCTTTAATCTCAAACTGACGGCCAAGATATCTCTTAACCTTATCAATTCCAGTAGTATCATTGCCGGTAAGAACAATATCATCGACATACACAATGAGAGCAACTGTTTTACCGCCTGAATGACGTAAAAACAAGGTATGATCAGCTGCACTTTGATGGAAACCAAACTTGAGCATAATAGTGCCAAAGCAATCAGACCAAGCTCGAGGAGACTACTTGAGGCCATACAGAGAACGACGAAGACGACATACCATACTAGAATGAGCAAGAGAACGAAAGCCCGGAGGAGGAACCATGTACACCTCCTCCTGCAAATCACCGTTGAGAAAGGCATTCTTGACATCTAACTGAAATAGAGGCCAAGATCGAATTGCAGCAACGAAAAATAATACACGGATGGTATTCATCTTGGCAACAGGGGCAAAAGTCTCCTGATAATCTATGCCATAAGTCTGAGCATAACCCTTGGCAACCAATCAGGCCTTGTAACGAGCAACTGACCCATCTGGATTATGCTTAACTGTAAACACCCAAGGACAACCCACAGCCTTTTGTCCAATAGGAAGCGGAACCATGTGCCAAGTCTGATTTTTCTCAAGTGCTTCTAGTTCTTCTGTCATAGCATCATGGCATTGAGGTTGTGCTAGTGCATCTGCAACACTAGAAGGAACGGGAACCGAGGCAACAGAAACAAGAAAATTCCAATAGGAGGGTGAGAGAGCATAATCAGAAACAAAATTAGAAATAGCGTAAGTACAAGAACGTTTACTCTTCCGAAGAGCAATGGGGCGATCATCAAGCAAAACAATAGCTTGAGAAGGCGGAGCTGGTGCCGAAGGAACAGGGCAGTCGATCGTGGGAGTAGAAGCTTGTACCTGTTGTCTCCGACTATAAACTTGTGAAAAAGGAACAATTCCCCCTGTTGGAGGGGTATCACGAGGAGGAATCATAGAAGAAGAAACAGGTAATGGTAGAGGAGTTGAAGACGGAAGAAGGTGATCATCCATTATATTCAATGGGAACCATTCACTCTGAGAACCAACTGAACCACTATAGTATGGTGTATGCTCAAAGAAAGAAACATCCATGGATATAAACCGCTGACGACTGGGAGGATAACACCTATAACCCTTTTCAGAGTGAGAATAGCCCCAAAACACACACTTCAAAGCCTTGGGGTCAAGCTTTGTACGAGTCTGCCCCAACTGCTGAACAAAGCACACACACCCGAAGACTCGCGGAGGAATAAAAAAAATAGATGAATTGGGATGTAAGATTGAGAGTGAGACTGCAAAGTTAAGAATCCTAAAAGGAGTCCTATTAATGATGTAAACAGCGGTAAGAACTGCATCTCCCCAAAATGACTGGGGAACATTCATGCCAATGTCGATTGCTCTGGCTAAGTTAAGGATGTGGCGATTCTTTCTCTTAGAACGACCATTCTGTTGGAGTTTTAACATTAGCCATCTGATGCTCAATCCCAAATTCTGTACATAACCGTTGTACCTCCCCATAAGTATACTTTGTACCCTGGTCAGATCTGAATTTTTTAATGGTACGACCATATTGAGTCTGAACCATTGTCATAAAATTTTTAAAAATGGTGTATACCTCATTTTTGGTTTTCATAAGATAAACCCACGTAACATGACTATGATCATCAATGAACAACACGAAATATCGAAATCCAAGACTAGAAGTAACTGGGCAAGGACCCCACGCATCTGAATGAACAAGATCAAAAGGTGTTAAAGCAGATTTATTACTACTAGCAGGATAATTGGAACGAACATGTTTAGCCATATGACATGTTTCACAGGATAAATCTGACACTGCCACATTACAAAATAAGGAAGGAAATAAATGTTTCAAATAACCAAAAGACATATGTCCTAAACGCATGTGCCAACGCAAAAGCTGGGCTTTATTAGATGAAACAATATTAGAAAATGAAGTTGAATGTGCTTGAGTTGACAAAGGATCATCCAACAAGTATAAACTGTCTACTTCACGCCCACTGCCAATCTTTCGTTTCGACACCAGATCTTGAAAAATACAATGTGAGGGAAAGAACGTTACAACACTACAATTTAATTGTTTGGTAACGCTACTAACAAAAATAAGATTTGTAGTCAACTTTGGAACATGAAGTGTATTTGACAAAGTTAATGAAGGTGTAACTGATATGTGACCCTTCTCAGCAATGGAAGATGGAGAGCCATCCGCAAGGCGGACCTTGTGTTGGCCAGAGCAGATACTATAAGATTGGAAGAGTGAGGACATACCAGTCATATTGTCTGAAGCACCAGAATCAATGATCCATGGTGTTAAAGATGTAGATACGCTATGTGCAGACGCAATAGTACTTGAGTGTGCATAAGTGGAGGTTGGCTGAGATGATGCCTCTTTTTGGTTGAAGAATTGCTTGAACTTGTCCAAATCAGCTTGAATCAAGGTAACTGTGGCAGAAGATGTAGAGACAGGGTTGTCAGGAGTTGACAACGAGACTGGTTGTGTAACAAAATGTGCAAAGGATCGAGGCTGTTGTTTTTGTTGCGGTGGACGTCCATGTAGAGCATAACAACGAGATTTGATGTGACCAATTTTTCCGCAATGGTCACACCGTCCACGTTGTCGTCCAAGAGGAGGACCAGTGTTAGTGCTCTGAACTGACCGGGATGGTGAAGCTCCTGAAAGGTTGGGAACCCGAACTGCCATAGCAGAACGATCAACAGAAGCAACACCTAATGGATGAGTTCGGTGGCTCTCATCTGACAACACATAGGAGTATGCATCCTTAAGAGTAGGGAATGAAGATAAGCCTAATAAATGAACACGAGCATACTCAAACTCGTCGTTCAACTCGACAAGAAACTGAAACACTCGATTCTTCTCCACAATTCCTTCATATAAAACTGCTTCATCTGGATCCTTCCAAGAGTGGAAGGAATCATAATATGACATCTCCTTCCAAATAGCACGAAGCTTGGCGATGTAACCTGAAACTGTCAAGTCACCCTGAGAAATCCTGGTGATATCTCGCCCCAGCTGGAAAATTCGTGCATTATTCTGCTTCTGAGAATAAGTGCGTTGAATTGAATCCCAAATCTGCTTAGCAGTCTTCATAAACATATAGCCAACAGCTATGTTTGGTTGCATCGCATTGACTAGCCAAGACATAACCATAGCATTATCTGCAAACCACTGTGGATATGCCTTCTCTGACTCAGCTGGATCTTTCTCAGAACCAGTAATATAGCTAATCTTGTCTTTGCCACCAATAAACATCTTGGCAGACTGTGCCCAAATCAAATAGTTGGAACCATCCAACTTCACTGTGGTGATTTGAAGTCCTGGATTTTCTGATGAGTTGGTGAGAAAAATGGCATCACCACCCACAAAACTTGAGCCAAGAGAATTAACAGTCGAGGACCCTAATAATTTGTCACACGACAATAAAAAAACTCAAAAAATACCACAAATTCTGTTAATAAATCAAAGGGTCTCCTCAGACCATAAACAATAACAATGTCTCCTCAGATCATTCCCGAAAAATCCAAATACATACCTTTTTTAAGGAGCGCTACCCGCTTACATAAAGCCAGACAACCTCCTCCTTAATATCCGGAACCTCTTTATAGACTATTTTTTTTTTTTTACCCAAGCCCTTCTAGGTGTTGGAAACCAACTATCCCAATTTACCTAACCCTAGAAGAGTGAAAAAGAAATTGTAAAACTTAAATATACCTGCTTTCGATCACAAAATAGCAACATCGAGAAACATGTGTAGGCAACGTCACACGATGTCACAAACAGCCTAAGATAGTTGTCGCACAAGTAGCAAGGCTGCTAAAAGTTGTGGAAAGGTGTTGCCTCTGATACCAAGTAGAAATATATAAAAAGAAGAGAAATGAGAGAATTGCGTAAAGGCTTGAATGATATGAATTACTCATTCACAGCTCTAGTATATATAGATAAAATGAGCACATGCTCATATTACAAGAAAGGAAACTAAATCAAATCAAAATCAAATCACAACTTATTCTAAAGCATATTCTATGGCATATTCTATAGCATAATCAAATCTTTGCTATTATGGTAAGTCATACCATAAATCGTGGTATCATATATGCTAACATATGCATAGTCAAATCTCTGGTATTATGGTAAGTCATACCATAAGTCGTGGTATCATATATGCTAATAGTGCATCTGATTTGATTGATGTTTCTTCCACTGATATGCTCTTTAACTTGTATTCTTTTGCACAAGACTGGCTTTCATGTTAACTTCCTCTATTTCTCAGTGGAACATAATCTACATAATGTATGTTCCACTTAATATTAAACTGTTATGGATTTAAAAGGATTTTATACTAAAAATAGCTTGTTGCAGGCACTTAGAGCTGTGTCGCACAATTACCCAAGTATAATGGATGTGTGTTGGGAACAAGTTTCCAATATTGTTTATGGATTTTTGAGGCTTACTTCTCCTGAAGTCCCTACAAGGCCTTGGAAGGGTAATGTCGGAAACACTGTTGGGTCAATGGGGGAGAAAGTCATTACAGCTGCAGTCAAGGTGAGATGCCCCCTGCCTCGTTTGGTTTCTTTCTTTGTCTTTTCCTTTTATTTTTCCTTTCTGATTGGGGTGTAACCACTTTGTTTGTGAATGGATCTGCATCCAAGATTGAATGTAGCATCTACCATTGAGTGTTTACAGGAATTCAAAATTGTTTATGTATACTTCTTCTCTCTACCAGCTTGAAACAGTGATCTGGGGCTTGGGAGTTATTGTTATGTAATTTATATTATAGTCATTTTCTATATTACTGAAATGGAATTATTCTTATGAAATAATTTCAGATTATGTTATCATAACTGTTAGAATGAACAAATAATCATTTAAAGGACTCATGGGGCCCGTCAGGAATGGAAAGCCTTTCTATATTGTTGGCTATTTCTGGATCAAAATATGGATATATTTCATTCTCCTTCTGGCGACCAACCCATCTTTCTCTCTTATGGAAAGTCTTTCTGTATTGTAGGTTAGGGTCAAAATCTGGATATATCCATTCTCCTTCTGGCAACCGATTCATCTTTCTCTCTGGAGGGGCCCATAAGATAAAATTACACTCCTAAAATTGCACTGTTCTATGTGTCGTAGCCAAAAATCGTGTGGTTCCTTTACAGTTGCATTTATAAACATAAATATATGTACTAAAGTAAAACGTTATTGTGTGGAATGGTGTATGTAGTCACCCTAGTTCAGATTGTGAGGCTTCAAGATAAAATAATGCTCTTGTACTTTAGTGCTGTAAATTGATGTATAAAGTATGAACAATTGACATGTAAGGAAGCTCATGATTCTTGGAAGAACAAATATGTGTTCCTTCAATTGTTTGTTAATGGATTCAGTTGAAGTCATTTGCTACCTGTCGATTGTAAAGTAAAAATATAATAACAAATTGATATAGCCAATGTTGTTCAGAGCCAACGATTAGTTATGCTTCTTCCTTAAGGGAGTAGGAGATATGACCTGATTTGAACAGCTGGTAGTATTTGAATTATCCCATACATATTGATATTTAATTTGAAAAAGACATTTGGGGGTAGAACAACTGTGTCAGTTAATATTTGTTTATTCAAGATGCATGCTTTAGTATGACATATTTGTTATTTCATTGCCCTACATTACTTTGCTTTTACAGGATTAACCGAATGCATTGACCAAACTGTTATACTTCATTATTGTTTCATTATGAATATCTTCTTTCGTCTTAGTCGGATATATAATTAGTTTTGTGTTGAAAAACTTCCAGTCCTGGTATCTGGGATTAAAGGAATATAGTTCATTCACGAAAGGTGATAATCATAAATCTCTCTTAGTTGCATTTAAACAAGTACATTTTTACCAAGTTGACTTTGGGAGGTTCTCCACTTCTACTGTTTTTCTCTTGGTGAAGAATATTTATGTCCAATTTATTTGAGTAGCTTGTTTGATTGGTGACTTTGTGCACTTGGAATCTGTTTCATTGTTGATTTCATGCACTTTCTTTGTATAATGGCTTGATAATACTTCTAGAGATTCAAATGTTAACTTATTATGCAGGTTTTGGATGAATGTCTTCGTGCTATATCTGGATTTAAAGGAACCGAAGATATTTTAGATGATAAATTACTTGATACCCCCTTTACATCTGATGACACTAGGACCAAGAAAATTTCATCAGCTCCATCTTATGGATCAGAGAGCCCAGCAGTCATTAAGGACAAACCACAAACATGTCAATCAGGGAGCGAGCAGTGGTGTGAGGCAATTGAGAAGCATTTGCCTCTGATTCTGTGGCATTCTTCTGCGATGGTTGGTTACAACAATTGACCTTTATTAATACCTTATTTCATGAAAAGAAATAAATTCATTTTGTTGCATTCTCTAAACTTCTAAGGGTAGATAACTTCTCTGCTATCGGTCACTGTTCTACCATATCCCATACTGTTTTCATAAATATACTAAGGTATTTACATAGAGTACACCAATTGACCTTTATTAATGTCTTATTTCATTTTGCATTCTCTAAATTTCTATGGCTAGATAGCTTCACTGCTACTGGTCACTATTTACCATATGTCATCATACTGTTTTCATACACATACTAGGGTATTAACATAGAGTTTTTAAATATACATACATATATATTTATATTCATTGTAATGCTGGCTTATTTTAAGCAATAAGTACAGAGTCTAAGTGAATATATCAATACTTTTCCGTGTCTTCCTATTTTAGTAATTTATTTTAAAAATATGCTCACCAGGTTCTTCTTTATTTTATTGTTATACTTTTAATTTTTCCCCTTACTCAGCCCCACTAAAGCTTCCATTCTTCATGAATGAATTTGAACTTCAGTCTTTAGGTTCATTTAATTAAAAATTAAGATTTTAGTTAAAAGTCGTTTCCCTTTTATATTAGGGTGTTCTACAAGTTGGAGTTTATCTGTTCCTTTTCTTTTACTTAATCCTTTCTGTATTTTTGGCATTCTTATATAGATTATTGAATGCACTGCCATCCTTTCCGAGTATGGTCAAGGTTAGAAAAACCGTGATCATTTTCACAATTTGAGTTTCATATGGTGGGTTATTTTGTTTCTGTCTCCTACTTTTAATCCACCTTCTTGTCTCTGTTAAATAGTTCTTTAGGCTCAAATTGTTTCTCAAAACTTATTAAAAAATTGTGCATTTTACTTGTATAGTTTGGTATAGTGCTTAGCTGGATCACTCATTTACATTTATTGGTTGCGTCTTGCATTGGATGTGAATCTTCTGTTGACAAATAACCTTTGAAATGTTTTGAAACATAAAGATAGTTATGTGCTTTTTACAATGGTGTGGAAGAAATTTGTTTGCTTACCTTTATGTGCTGCTCTAACACCTACCGTCACTTTTTTCTGAAGGTGAGGTCTGCCTCAGTCACGTGTAATCCACGCTCAAATTGTTTCTCAAAACTTATTAAAAAATTGTGCATTTTACTTGTATAGTTTGGTATAGTGCTTAGCTGGATCACTCATTTACATTTATTGGTTGTGTCTTGCATTGGATGTGAATCTTCTGTTGACAAATAACCTTTGAAATGTTTTGAAACATAAAGATAGTTAAGTGCTTTTTACAATGGTGCGGAAGAATTTTGTTTGCTTACCTTTATGTGCTGCTCTAACACCTACCGTCACTTTTTTCTGAAGGTGAGGTCTGCCTCAGTCACTTGTTTCGCAGGAATTACTTCTTCTGTTTTCTCTTCTCTCCCAAATGACAAACAAGAGTTCATTTTTACTTCTTCTGTAAGTCCTGCAGTGGCATATACTTAAATCTATGATTGCTTTCTGTGTGATGGTAAACTATAGAAATATTTCTTTCTTCTTTATTTATGCATTGCGTGTGCAAACTCTTTGTAGATCAGAGCTGCTCTTAATGATGAGGTGCCTTCCGTTAGGTCAGCTGCTTGTCGTGCCATTGGTGTGATCACATTTTTTCCACAAATTTCAGAAAGGTAATTCTGACATGTTGCTGACTCTTAAAGTTTTTATTGACTTTCTTAATCTGTGGACAGAAGATTACATAGAATTTTATTCATGTAGTGCAGAGATCCTTGAAAAGTTTATCCATGCTGCTGAGTTTAACACCCGTGATCCTTTGATCTCGGTAATCTTTCTATTTGGAATTATTTTTCACTTACTGTTGGAAGAAACACAGAGAGAGAATTTTGGAGAAGAGAAGAGTATTCTGTAAATTCATTACATCACTATTTATACAGCTCTAGATATATATAGATACAAAGAAACTATAAAAGGAAAGAATGTGAGTGTGTGACAACTACTAATACACGTGTGACAGCTCATACTATATTGCACAACACTTACATTATGGATTTTTATATTAAGTAGGTAAAACATTTTCTATTAATAATTTCAGGTGCGAATTACGGCCTCCTGGGCTTTAGCAAATGCATGTGATTCTCTCAGGCATTGTATTAATGCTTTTTCCTCTAAAAGGTTTTCTATAGGTGGGCTTAAGCTTTGTTTGATTGATTTTTTATTTATTTATTTTTATCTTTTCATTTTTGTTGTTTAATTTTATTCATTTTTCCTCTCTTTAACATGACAGATTCAAAGGCAAGCTCTCGATTGACTGCAGTATTATTTGAGTGTGGTTTGCGTCTGACTAAGGACAGCGACAAGGTAAACACATTTAGACTGCAGTAATTCAATTATCAGTTTTCCTCATATATATTATACCAGAATGGTTGATGAATTAGTACTTGGTTTTGCCATCTCTCTCATATGCTAATGCAAGAAGTAATTTCCGTTCTTAACTCCCTTTGTGTTAAAGAATGTAGTTTCATGAGTGAATGTCAGACTTGTCAGTATGGCATTCTCACAGGTTTATGGTTTTATAAAATGTTAAATTTATCAATTCAATCAATTTTAGAGGAATGCTAAGACACTTTTTCCTGGTTACCAGGAAATATGCTGATAAAACCGCAGATAACTTTTACTTATTTATTATACTGCATCTTTCTTGTCACCCTGTTAGATACCTGAACAAAGAAACATTACTTAAAAGTCTGTTTCCCACTCCACTTGTTGCAAGTCCTAAATTGTACCCTGTGAAATTGTTGCTTTCTTTTGAGGCTTCCCGTGCGGGGAGGACAAAAACAAAAGTAACACACAGAGCACAAATGAACTGAAGAATGGATTTCATACTCAGTTGCCCTCTTACTTAGTGTGCACTGATCTCCAGGTTCCGTTCCTCGTACTATTTCAAAGAACCATTTTGGAGAAAATTTAACACAGGGATTTTAGTGTTGAATTTCATCCCTAAATTGGTTGGTGGCAAAGAGAAAATTTGCAGCCTGTTTAATGTGCTGCAATGCTCAGTTGGGATTAGGCAGAGTAGTGGAATATGGTGATGTCCTTTGCTGATTTTTTTGTAACAGCTAAGAGTTGTACAACTTAGCACATTCCCTTTGAAGTGGAGTGCTGCTCCAACCCTCAAACTGTAGGTCTGCTTCTAATTCCAAATTTGTAAGGAATTATGAAGTTTGAATAAATGGTAATAAGTCTCACCTGGCACATCCATGAACATTGCACCACATAATAAGACCAACAACGAAATGTTCTCAGATAGAGGGAAACAATATCATGATTTGTCTCTAGATAACAAAAAGTAGGATATTTAAGCATCTTTTGGAGATAAACCATGGAAAAAGATTTCCCAGACTTCTTTCTTTCTCTTATATTTCCCTCACCACTAATTATATCATTGTTTTCCTTTAAATCCTCTTGCTTTAACACTTTATATTTCTTACCATGACTAATCACCTTTTCCTTTTACTTTTTGAATCCTTCGACTTCAAATGTTTCAATTTTATACCATTGGTCCATTACCAACCATTTTTCCTATTTCTTTTAAATTAATATTCTATTCTCCACATTTCCTTTTTTTTTTTTCTTCATATTTCTCTTTATTTATAAATTCCCTTAAAACACATATTAGTTTACTCAGACCCACATGTTGAAATCTGTTGGAAATCATATCTATAAGCTGACTCGATAATTGTGGCTGATTTTTATTCTGATTTGATTTTTATTCTCTTTCCATATTTGTAATTTTTCTCTTGTATATAATGATAGTCAAGCTCTCAAATTGAGTACGCCAATTTTACCAAATTAGTTTTTGGTATCAGAGCCACCTATCATATAATTCAATTTGGTATCAGAGCCACCGCCGGAGATGGCGGCATAAGCCTCATCTCTGGCGGCGGTCCATCATCATCCTCTTCATTTTTCAGATTTCTCTTTCGTCATTTGATTTTGTTGGAGCTCTCTGTTTCGGATTGTTTAAGGTCTCTGTTTTGTTGGAGTTCTTTGTTTTGGCCTAAGAGAATATTGCACGACCTTTTTCCTGGCGTTGTTCCGGTATTTCCAGCTTTGTTTCGGATATTTTCATCTCTCGGATGGATCGCTCCGGTGTAGGGAGGCTCTCCTCCCAGGTTAAGACCCCTTATTTGGGGGTATCTCCTTAGCATTTGACATGTGCTAAGGGTCTCTCGGTGCTATTTGTGCCCTGTTTAGGCTGTCGGTGTGTTCAGTAGCATTGTCCTTTGCCTTGTTGGGCTGCCGGTGTGTTCGGTAGCATCATCCTTTGCCTTATTGGGGCTGTCGGTGTGTTTGGTAGCATTGCAATCTTATTGTGGAAAGGATACGGTTGTTTCACGTCTTGATATAGTCAAGCTGAGCTTGGTTGATATCTTCCCTACAGATTGAAGGGGAGTGTTGGAAATCATATCTATAAGTTGACTCGATAATTGTGACAGATTTATTGGGTCTTCATTATAGGCTAATGTTTAGACTTTTGTTTACGGATTTGATTTTTATTCTCTTTTCATATTTGTAATTTTCCTCTTGTATATAATGATAGTCAAACTCTCAAATTCAGTGGCCAATTTTACCAAATTACTTTTTGGTATCAGAGCCACCTATCAAATAATTCAATTAAATCCACTAATCAATTCTTTTGTTAAAAGAACACTACTAAAATATATAACACAAATCGACATCAATAACAATTTTCTCCACTTGCCCATCTTGATGGCTCCAAATAAAAATTATCACATACAATCTACAAAATTAGTTCAAATAAATTTCTAAAATGCCCAATAAAGCACTTTGACATAGTTGTTAAAGGCACCGGAGCCGCGCGCCTGAGGCGCAAGGCGCCTCCAGGCGCCATGTTGTCGCCTTGATACACTTAAGGCGACTAGCTTAAGTAAGGCGTGTGCCTTTCCGACCAAGGCGCCAGGCTACAGGCGCTGGAAAGGCACGCCTGCTTTAAAAAGTTGTTTTTTACTTCTTTTTGTTTGTTTATTGTTTGTTTGTTTAAAAAGTTCTTTTTGTTTATTATTATTATTATTTCTATTCTGTTATTTTATTAGTTAATATAATACAAAAGCCTACAAGTTACAACATTAAAAAAAAAAAGAAAAAAACAAGAGAAGCAAAAAGCAAAGGAAAGAAGAGTAGAAGACAGAGGCAGCGAAGGCACCAAAAAGCGTCGGATCTCTCGGATCTGCGCCGGATCAGGTAAGTTCTCCTTCTTTCTTCTTCTTCTTCTTCTTCTTCTTTCCTTCTCTTCTTCTTCTCTCCTCCTCTTCTCGGATCAGTCTCAGATTTTTTTTTTTTTCTTCTTTTCTTCTTCTTCTCTCGAGTCTCGGCTCTCTTGAGAGTGGAGTCTGGCATATTGTTTTTTTATTTTTCTTCTTCTTTTTATTTTTTTATTATTATTATTTTCTCAAGTTTTGTTCTTCTTTTTATTTATTTGAGTGGAGTTTGGCAGATTGTTTTTTTATTTTTCTTCTTTTTTTTATTTTTTTATTTTATTTTATTTTTCTCAAGTTTTATTCTTCTTTTTCTTTTTCTTCTTTTTATATTTTTTATTTATTTGTGTGAGGTACTTTATATTTACCTGCTTGGATTAGATTAGTACAATGTATTGCTCTCACTATTTTTTTTATTTTATTTGTGTGATCGGTGATCCTGTTTTATTTATTTGTGTGATCAATGATCCTGTTTTATTTGTGTAAATTGTGTGAACAGCTGTAGCCTGTATTTGTTCCATTCTAACATGTTATTGGTTTGAGGAAATGCATTTTTATCTAATTTTGTTAATAGCTCATTTACTGTTAAAATGAAATAATTTTGTTAAAATGAAATAATTACTCATGTACTGTTATATTATTTTCATATAATTAGGTTCTATTATTGAAAGAATGTTTAGTTGTTAAATCACTTACCCAAAAATGAAAAATAGAATCAATCATGGTGCTTATAGAAAATTAAATTGATTTGATTTGAAAATAGATCACATCCTTGTGGTTTTTGCAAGATAAATTCATAATTTCTATTTAATGCATCCAAACATGTGCCTTGCTTCAGTCGGGCTCGCGCCTCGCCTTGCGCCTCAGGCTCCGAGAGGCATTTGCGTTTTTGTGCGCCTTGAGCCTTTAACAACTATGCACTTTGGCGAAAATTGAAAAATTTCCAGGGGAAGCACCGTTTCTATCATTTATTGCAGCAACAAGTTTTTTTCATTTAGCCATATCTCTATGATTAATGTTAACCCAAGGCACGAGGCTCCCGCCATTGCGGGATCCAATGAGGGTGATGTACGTGGCCTTACCTCTGCATAAAGAGAGGCTGTTTCCTGTTTTGAACCCGTGACCTCTAAGTCAGATTAGAGCAACCTTACTATTGTGCCAACGGCCTTTTCTTATCTCAATGATTAGCTTTCTAGTTTTTTATTTTTTATTTTATTTTATTTTATATGGCATGAGACATGTAGATGGATTGTTAAGGGTTTCACATGGATTTATCACTAACTGCCTGACGTGGTATCTCATCCTTCCTTATGAAAGGTTGAGGGTTCAACTGTTCAAATCCCTGTAGGAGCAACAGTGGCTTTGGGTTCGACTTAGATGTGTATGTTACCTACCAAACAAATGAGGATGTCATCACACGGATGTTTTGTACATTTTTTTTGGAGATCATTGAGGAGCAAGTGAGGATCAAATGCAATTCATGCCCCATGAAACTTTTTGCCTACATTGAATAAGCTTTTACTTTATTTGGCCTTTGAGAAGAAGAGTTCCTGTTAAATTATTATCTCTAGTTCTGTTTTTATTTAAAGCTGGTTTATATTGTCTACAGACGGACAGAGTGTCCCAGGAGCATTCTGCCTCCATTCTGAGTTCTTCTGTTTTTCATTTTTCTAGTGTCATTATATGCACTTGCCCTATTGTCTAAAAATGTCTTTTTAGCAGTATTATGGTGTTAAATAAGTAATTGTTTAGATTCTTGACAAGTACTCAGGTGGGTTAATGGTATTATGTTTTGCCCTAGCCATTTGTCATTTAATTGTTATTTTATTTTATTTTTGATTCTGTTGAAACGCATTTGGTTAAAATTCTTAGTGTTTTCTATGGTAGTTTTTCATGACTATAGCTTATCAGTTTCTTTTTTTTTCCTTTATTTCTAACTTTAGGTCAAAGCAAATGCTGTGAGAGCCCTGGGCAATCTTTCAAGATGTGTCCTATTTACAAATGGGTCAGGAGTTCATGACAAGCCAGTAAATAGTACCAGCTTCTCCCTAATAAGTAATGGTGCTGAAAAGCATAGTGATCTCAGAGATAGTCACCAAGACCAACACACATCAAATTCATTCCAGTTAGCTTCCCTTGAAGATTCAGATTGGCTAGAAAGAATGGTCCAAGCATTTCTTTCTTGTGTTACAACTGGAAACGTGAAGGTATACTAAGTCCTTCCTTGAACTTAAAATGAGCTTTTCAGTAATTATTTCATGGCGATTGCTGCAATTCTAGGTTTATCAAGAGTCTTTTGCGAGAATGGGTGCCAAACTTTCTGTCGAGAGAATCTAGAAACAACAATCAATTAACCAAACAAGATGAAAACATTGAACAATCGAATCACTATAATATTTTGCAGAAACTACTTTAGAAAAAAGCTTTCATAATAGAAACTCAATCAGACTACAATTGATAATGAATTTCAGCACAGATTTCTATGAGCAAGGAAAAGTGCAACAAGTTGTTCCAAGAAGATTTTTATGCTCCAGGCAATCCAACTAGAGAGAAGGTGTTAACTGTTGTAGAAGTTTGTGTGAAGGAGTAAAGCGTACACTGTGTAAGCATTAAGAAACCAAGGCTAGCTGCAAGTGAAGGCAAAAATTATTAGAGGGAGGAAAAGGTGATAAAACATGTAAAATAAAGGAAAGATCTCACCGAATTTCAGCACAGATTTCTATGAGCAAGGAAAAGTGGACAAGAAGATTTTCATGCTCCAGGCGATCCAACTAGAGAGAAGGTGTAGGAGATAAAGGGCAATATGAATAAGAGATAAAAGTAGAGGAGAGGGAGAAGAATAAAATGTACAAAATGGAGAGGGGAGGAAGTAAAATAAATGAAGAAATTTAGGAAATTTAGAGAGGGAGAAAGAGAGGCTGGCCACCAAAAGATTCTTCCAAATAATCAACCACCCTTGATACATAGTAATATATGTATGGATACTCAATGATCTTAAAATCCTGGCTGCTAGTTTCTTACTTATGTGTTATAATCTAATATAACCCCAAGTGTCATGTCACCAAAGTCATTTGATGTCATATGCACCGTATGTGATTACTTCAGTGGAACTTAATGTAACGCCCCTCACCCTAGTTAGACACAATATTGTTCGCTTTTGGTTCCCCCAGACCAAAGACTTTCCAGGGGGTCACCCATCCCAGTACTTCTCCAGGTTAAACACGCTTAATTCCAGAGTTCTGGTAGTTTCACGGCCATCACAGCTTTAAAACGCGTTATTTCATAGAAGGGTGTTGAATCTACATATAGCACTTGCCCTATTCATACCCAGGCGATGTGGGATTGTGTACATGTAGCTCGCCTAGTGTGGTAGCCTACTGGTGCCATTTGCACACGCTCACACACACACCCGCCCAGAAGGTCGCCACAATCCCAACGTCCTCGTTAGCCGTACTTTCGGTTGGGTCAGGCTTTGATAACATTTATAATAACCCTTACCCTATCGGGACACAATATTGTCCGCTTTTGGCTCCCCCGAACCAGAGGCTTCCCAGGGGGTAACCCATCCTGGTACTACTCCAGGTTAAGTATGCTTAACTTTAGAGTTCCGGTGGGTTTACGGCCATTACGGCTTTAAAACGCGTTGTGTCATAGAATGGTGTTGAATCTACATACAGCACTTGCCCTATCCACACGCAGGCGATGTGGGATTGTGCACCTGTAGCTTGCTTAGTGTGGTAGTCTACCGGTACCACCTGCACACGCTCACACACACCCACCCACAGGGTCGCCACAATCACTCCCCTTTTGGCGCCTAACGCCCTCGTCTTCTGGCTGGGTTAGGTTCTGATACCATTTGTAACAATTCTCACCCTATCCAAACACAATACTGTCCGCTTTTGGCTCCCCCGGACCAGAGACTTCCTGGGGGGTCACTCATCCTAGTACTACTCCAGGTTAAACACGTTTAGCTTTGGAGTTCTGGTAGGTTCACGGCCATCACGGCTTTACAACGCGTACAATATTGTGTCTGGATAGGTGAGGATTGTTACACTAAAAGATATATATACCTTTCAATAAAAGAAAAAAAAAAAAAAGAAAAATTCTTAAAGATACATATAAACCAGCATAATTAACTAGAAAGATAACTAAAAAATGTGAAAAATAATCAATCCTATTTAATAAGCTGCACCAGTGATATGCTTTCTTTTGTTCAATAATTCAATTTTACCCTTGCTAAGAGTTGTTCATTGTTGAGCAGGTCCAATGGAATGTTTGTCATGCATTGAGGAACTTATTTCTGAATGAGACTACAAAACTGCAAGATATGGATTGGTGAGGAGCCTATTTGTTTGCATATGTGGAAGTCTCGTTTTCATATTCATTCTTTGATTGGTTATTGTTGGAAATATAGAGCAATGACCTTTGGAAATTTTGGTTGGGGGCAAATTCCTTGAGGTTCTTTGTGTTGTTTTCCTTTTTGGGTTTACGAACTTCTATATATTTTGGTGAGGACCCAGCACATATAAAGGGAATTTTTGGGCATTTACGAGCTTATATATATTTTGATGAGGACCCAACACATATAAATGGATTTTTTGGCATTTATTTGTTGCTATTCTGGGCATTGAAGTACAATATCATTTTTAAGAGGATTGTGTACTTGCATTTTTGCAGGGCTCCATCAGTTTTTAGTATTCTTTTACTCCTGCTTCGTGATTCTTCTAACTTTAAGATCAGGATACAAGCTGCTGCTGCTTTGGCTGTGCCAGCAACCATATTTGGTGCGTTGTATGATTATTTTTTTCCTGTTGTCATGGTTGAAGTATGATTCTTCTTTTTATTGCCTTAATAAGAAACCTGATAATTCCTGAGTTGTAGTCTTACTAAGATTAGGGCATAGTTGTGAAAGGCGCGCCTAGGCTCCAAGAAAGCCCCAGGCTCATGCTCAACTAGAGCGCCTCAACCTAGTACAAGCGAGGCCCTTTCCATCAGGCTTACATAAAGCCGTTAGGATTCCGCTTTTTAGCAGGCTCCGTGTTCAAAAAAGGCGCTCCTTTTATAATTTAATCATTTATTCATATCATTTATTATTATTATTATTTAATGGCTACTTAATTACAATATTCTATGTCATATATCACATTTTTAATCTTATGAAATATTTGACAAAATTCATATATTTATGGTTCACTGCTTTACATTAATTGCAATTAGTGCTTGATTCTGAGTATATATAATAATATATGTTTATAGATGCATAATACACACGCACCTTACTTCGATCAGGCTCACGCCTTATATTGCACCTTGTGCTTAGTCTCCAGAAAGCCTTCGGCACCTTAGTGCACCTTGAACCTTTAACAACTATGGATTAGAGTGACAAGTAAATTTTGTTTTAGCATTGAAATCTGAGAGGGCATGGTTTAGATAGGCAAATAATTGGAATGAACCTAAGAAGAATGAAAACTAAGAGAAAGTAGGGAGTGGACTGCCTTTTTTTAAAAAAATTTAAACCTTAACTGGGTTTTTTGAAGCTTGTATTGATGGCTTTGTTAGGTATTAACTGATGCACAATTTTCTGACAATGGTGATGATGATTTTTTTCTTTTGGATGGTTTTTCTCAATGGTTCACCATGATCCATATTTGTGCTTGCTTCATATCAATTCTTTTCCAGCACTGTTTCATATGTCAGAAAAATATCAAGAAAGAACCTGTTTTGTTGATATCATAAAAATCCACTAACAAAATGGCATTAAGTTAATTCACCTAGGTATAGGATGAATGAGAACACATTTTTGTTGATCTTCTCACTCTTGTGCTACCTTGAAATGATTTAAAATTTCCCAGATTTGTTTCTATCCAATCTTCTATTAGATGACCTAAAGTTGCTTCTCTCCTAATACAAACTTTATGCCTACAATCAACATAAATTGCTGCATTTGGGACCTTAAACTAAATGCCTTTCGCTTTCACACGAGTTGGTGATTAACAAAATATAAAACTGTTAATCAGATGTTTTTTCGAGCTCTGGGATTTATGAACCTTTTTGCTGCAGTTGTCAAATATGCTTATAATCATCATGATTATGCTTTCAATTTGCTGAATTCTCTCTTAAACTCAATGTTGAGTTTGCATGAATGCATGATAGCAATAGATGCAATAGAAATACTAACTAATGTATTGTTATCAAAAGATGACGTGGATTCATGTTACTGGACCATAACCATGGTGAAATCTTGTGCAAGCTGCAAATTCTTAATTTTTCTAGTTGATTAAAAAAAAAAAAAAAAGAGTTTATAGGACTTCTTTGGACACTAAGTAGGCTGTTTGTAGACGATGAATCTCACAGGTCAGAGTCGTTAAACCATTCATCATACAGAATCTCCCAATAGTAATTGGAAGATTGGGAAGCTGATGCTTGGAGTAATAATTTACTACTCACTCCTAGATTGAGAGGATATATTTCTTCCCACTTACTGAACACAACTATCTTTTCATCTAATTTACGCATTTGTACTGAAGTTTCCATCTAATATATCAAGTTATACATCCAAACAAATATCCCTTGAAGCACTTGATGTGTTGTCTTTTTATTGCTATAATAATAGTACGTGTGCTATAGTGGTCTCTGTACCTTTGTTCATGCAGTAAATTGGATCTCGGTTTAGTCATCTTTTTTTCTGATTTTATTTGATGCAGATTATGGGAGATCATTCCCAGATGTTGTCCAAGGTGTTGGGCATATACTCGAGAATTTAAGTTCAGACTCAATCTCAACGCCGTCAAGTTTCAAATATAGGGTTGCACTGGAGAATCAGGTCAAATTCCTAAAACCAATTGCAATTGAGCAATGCCATGAATCAATCTCATATTGATTGTGGAACTGGCATAAAAACTCTTCAAAATGCTAGCTTTATTTTTTCTTCTTGTTTTTGCATGCAAGCGTAGTACTTGGGAGTGAATTTTTTTAATTCTTATTATAATTTTTTTAACTAAAAGTTTCTTATCATTATGTGAATGGCACTACATAGATCATGGACTTGTTTTGTTAATCAATAGCGTTAATCTTTTTGGCATCAGAAGCGTTCTCCCATATATTTGACGTTGATTTTGTTGTCAATTCACTTTGACATCAATTATTTGGTTGTGGAATCACTTCAATCATTTGTGTTTGTGTACCCAATAATTCACGATATTTTGTTAATGTTTTGTACTACAATTTATATGAGTTCATGTATGCTAATCATATTGTCATACTAGTTTTATGATCCTTGCATATTAACTCTCTCTATAATTAGCGCTTGTCATTTATGAGGAAAATGCTTTGCAAACTTAATTTTAATTAAAGAAAAGGGAAGTAGATACAGGCTGGAATATTTCTTTCATATCTTCCTTAATATTGAAGTGGAAGAAATACATGGGGAGAGACCTTTTTTTATATGAAGTTTCATTAAGTTGTTTAGTATTTTCTTGTTTTGATAATGAAAGTACCATGAAAAAGGGGGTTTAAAAAATAACATTGAAAATGGAAGAATGGGATTATGTAATTTCACTTGTACATAATTCAATAGGATTTCAGCTTGAAATTGCGAGTTCTACTCACTTGTAGGATTCCTCTTTGGAAGAATCCGGAAACAAGACTTATTTTACTTTGGTGAAGATTATATATAAATTTGTGGGATTCTAAGAAATGATGTTTCTTGTTTAGTGACTTCTGTTTTTTCTCTTTTCATCTTGTTCTCCTCTCATTATTTATTTATTTATTTTTTTTTTTAAAATTTAATTTTTAACTTGTTTATTTGCTCGTTACAGCTAACTTCTACCATGTTGCATGTGCTTGGTCTTGCTTCAAGAAGTGATCATCTGCCTATAAAAGATTTTCTGGTCAAAGTAAGCATCTGACTGGACATTTACCTAAAAATCTAGATATTTCAATTGAAATGATTCTATTTCATAAACACGAGCTAATGATTTACTATGGACGCAGACTATATTATGTCACTGCTTATGGCTTAGTAGATTCAAAATTGCATGATTTCACTACTCCTATTTCCATTTTTTTCCCTCTGCTTATATGACGAGAAAAGAACACTTTTGTGCATTGCTTTTATCTAAATTGTAATTTTCTATAGCAATTTCTCTTCCCAATTTAAAGCATTTTTTCTCAGGTTTTGTTACTCATTTTTCCTTTTGTTTCATACAGAAAGCTTCATTTCTTGAGGAGTGGTTTAAAGTGCTATGCTCCTCACTTGGGAATACAAGTACTCAGATTGGGGATGAAAATAGTTCCACCAGTCACCAAAAGAAAGAGGTTATATTAAAAGCGATACAGTCGCTAATTGAAGTGTATGAAAGCAGGAATCATCATGCCATTGCACGGAGGTTTGAAAAGATGGCAGCAGAACATGAATCTCTTCATGCGGTTCATTTCTCCTCCTAGTTGTCTGATTGATTGTTGTAGAACATCACCACCAGTGGTTCCTTTGAATCCTTTCTGTCCATTAGTCTTTGGAAGATCATTGATATGAAGATTGGGTATATATTGTCCGTTAAGACAGGTTTAGGAACTCTGGTCATGCATTGTTTAATGGACATCACTGTAGTGTGCAGTTCAGTTGCGATCTTCCTCTTGGACATTGGCAGTGGCCTGACGGGATGCAAAATCATTTTGATTTTGGTATGTTTCAGTTCAACAGGTTTGCATATTGTGTTGAAAGTCCGGTGTTATATGTTGGATACGAGGCCAGAGGTTGCGGAGTGTCTCTATCTGGTGTGGCACGAGGTGGATGAAGTCAAGAGTATGTGCGGGTTAATGTGCTATTTCACTCTCATTAATTGTCGAAAGGTTTTATTTACATGAATATTTATAGATTGCTGCGTGAAATATGTTTACTATAAAGGAAATCAGATAGTGTATCTAATTTAGGAACCTTTGTAGTTTATTAGATTACCTAATATAACAAGGTTTGTAGCTTATAAGATTCCATTCATAACCTCTGTAGCTTATAAAATTCCATTCTTTTCGGACTTGTGCAATGTAGCTAATTGCGTGAAAGGTCTAATGAACATATAAAGATGTGTACATTGTTGCATTAACAACATTTGTGTAGGTTGTGCAATTTACCCAATCTATACATATTCTTGTCTCATTCTCTCATTAATTGTTGCTAGGTTTGATGAACCTGGATGTGAATATTGTTGCGTGAAATATGTGTACCATAAAGAGAATCAGATGGTGTATCAATGTACCTAAATTTAAGGTACCTTTAGAGATTTGTCTCAGAATTGAATTAAATCAGGACATCCCCTCTTAACCAAAGGGGTGGAGGAATGGATTCTCAAGTATCGTTTATAATGTTCCGGAGTACCAATGTCTTGTAAGTATGGGAGCTCTTTTACGTTCAATTATTTAAAGGCTTATAATATAAATTAAAAAGCAAGTAATTGTGATTTTAGGATATGAATATATAGATTAGCGAGCTCTTTACGTGTCTGGATTTTAAAGAACAATGTAAGGAATTATTTGAAATTCATCTCGGCAAATTTTTGAAATACACAAATTGTGTACAAGGGCGGAGATAAGGGGGCCATGGCCCCCGAACTTTTTGGAAATTTTTTTTAACTACCTCTTAAATATTAATTAATTTGTAAATTTTGTCCCTAAAATTTATTAAAAATTTCAATTGGCCACCCAATTTTTTTAACAACATATATATTGACCCAAAATAAAGAGTTTGAACATAAATTTAGATTGTCTCCTTAAATATAAATTTTTTCAACTTGCACTCTTTTAACTACTTTTAAAAGCTCAAATATTGTGAAACAAAAATTTAAGCTCATTATTATTATAGTCATTTTTTTTTGGTAAATAATTATTATAGTCGTTCTGCATTGTTATGTTATTTATACATACACGTACAATATCTATAATATTAATTCAAGATAGAAAAAAAAAAAATAGAATACAATAATTAATGTTCCCTCGTGTTTGGTAAAAATGCATGATTTGTCAAACATTTTTGTAAAATGGTATTTACAAGAAAAAAATCTAAAATTCTATAACAATCTTTATTGGCAAGCCCTAGGAATATTTGAAAATAAGATAAACTAAAGTGTGAGACTTTCAATAACAATAATAATATCATTTATGCTACTACTTTTAGTTATCATTTTCTAAATAACAAATTTTATAACTATTTGTATCTTGTTTAATAACTCAATAATAATCTTGTTGAATTTTTTTTGGAAAAAAAAAAATTTTTGAGTTAAAATTCATTATGTTGTTGAATTGTGGAATCTAAATACTTAATTTTTTTCTTCCAAAAATTAGATTTTTGAAAAATTAAAACAATTGATTAAAGAAATTTTAAATTTTTTTTTTCTAGTTGGTAATCACACACACGTGTTTTGAGACTTGAACCCCTAACCTCCTTTTGTAAAGTAAGAGGCTGCTATTGCTAGGCCACTAACCTGTTGGTAGGAGAAAAAAAAAAATAAAAAAATAAAAAAATCTAACAATGCTTATTTCTTTACGTTCCTTCTCCATAATTTTCTTCTAACATTTTTTTTTTTTTTTTTTTCTGTCCAAATTAGTATTATTTTTGAAATCATATGTTATGTCCCTATTATTTAGACAATCCATAAGGGAGGTAAGTATAATTATTCTATAATTTTTTTGCTTAAACTCAAATTTGTTCATGTTGAATTATTTGTTTATTTATCTTTTTATTTCTCTTTTGATTTGATTTGAGTGTTGAGCAGCATCTTTCTGGATGGACCAAAGGTTTCTCACCTAATGATATGATCTCTCCTCTTTAAAGAGGAGGTTGAGAGATAGTAATGGGATATGTGTTTGCTTTAGGCATTGGATGAGAGATACTAGTAAGCAGTATATGTCCAATAAATAATAAAAGTTTTTTATTTCCAAATTTGCATTCAGTGTCTAAATGACTAATAAATGATATTCGGTGGTTGATCAACTTAACAAAACATATAGAAAGGGTAACAGATTTCAGAGATTAGTAGTAAAATACTAGTGGTTTTGATGGTGTGGCTTATATTGCAGTAAACATCGACTATAAAATAACTGCAATGAAGGGATATGATAGACTATAAACTGGTCTGCTATATATAAATATATATTGTAACACTCAAATATGTAGGTCTTTTAAGAGGAAATTAAGGACGAAAATGATAATACAGATAAAATTGAATGGAGATGATGACTGTGTTTGTGTGTGTGTGTGTGTTGGTGGGTGGGAGATTTTTGAGGCTGGTCAGTCGGAGAAGACTCCTGTCCTGCCTGTGGTTGAATGCATTTCAATCTCACCCACTCACTTCCTCCCTAGATGCCCTATATTTGTGTCCTTTTCTTTTTGTACCCTACCACATCATACTTCCTAGTACCCTCCTGTCACTATCCAAAAATGGAAAGATATATATATATACATGGTGGTATATAATAAAATATGAAAAAAAAAAAACATGTGAACCCAAATTTATTTTAAAAAAGGAATTACTTATGCATTCAGAGTTTCACAAACACAAACGCTCAAATTTTGATATATATATTTTTAATCCAGCCCAATGTGTCTCTTGACCTTCCGTAGTGCAGGGTAGACCTTTCCTTTCCACCCTTAAAGCTCTCTCTCTCCCTCCCTCCCCTCTTCAATGTCTTTGCATAACCGGCAAAGGTTTTGAGTTTCCTTTCTATTTTTTCTGTATTTATATTTTTAAAATACTTGGGAAGGAAAAGTTTTTTCCAGAAACAAGTGGGTGATTGAAACAAAAAAAGTAGTTTTTTTCCTGAAATGGGTACCTAATAAATTTGGTGTTTTTGTTAAAATAAATAAATAAATAGAAAAGCCTTTCAGAGTTTGAGGAGGTTATACCTTTTTTTTTTTTTTGGGATTTTCACTTGATTATCTATTGCTGGAGAAAGAAACAGAGATAGAGAGAGAGGTATGTATAGTATGTCAATCATTCCATTTTTTGATGTCAACCTTTAGCCTTAATTTATAATGAGCTGAATAATTGAATCATTGTAATGATATTGACATTGTTTGTGGGCTATATTACATTATATCAAACAGATATTAACATGCCACTTCATCATGTTTGTTGGGACAAAATTATGCATGAATTCTGCCCTTTTATGCCTAGATTTTGTTGTTTATTGTTGCAATTTACTGGAAATGGGCTTTCTTGAGCCTCCAAGGGTTTATCCCTGTTTTGTTTAGTATTTAATTTTTGGTAATTAAAGTTCATTTAGGGAGGAAAAAAAAAATTATGCATGTTTCTAATAATTCAAGTTAGGCTTTGTATAAAAAAAATATGCCATTTGTGTTTTGGCATATACACATATCTCTTTCTCAAATGCATGTGATATGTTTATCACCATAACCCTTTAGCTAACCTTTACAATTCAAAGTAAAACATCTCACTACATATAACTTCCTATGTACCTAAATATTACTTTCCCTGATGAATACAAATTTTCTTTCTTTTGGGAACATATTTTGTAAAGGGATTAAATGGCCAAGGAGTACAGTGGATCCGCTAAGTTTAATCAGCTGGAATCCAAGAGGTCGCGTTTAACTTGGATCATAGGTATTAGTGGCCTCTGCGTTCTGAGCTACACTCTTGGAGCTTGGCAGAATACAATTCTTGCTCCGTCCAGCCGATCTGAGGTCTTTAACAGAGATGATGGATCCTCTGCAGGCGGCAAAGACCATTCCACTGTCATTGCGTCGCTATCATCATCCTCATCCTCAGCCTCGTCCTCGTCCTCATCCTCATCCTCACTCCACTTGGACTTTGGAAGCCATCATGAGTTGGTGGTTAACATTTCTGAGGATTCCCATGAATTCAAACCATGTGGTTTGAACTACAGTGAATACACACCGTGCCAAGATCCATTTAGGAGTAAGAAATTTGACCTCAAAATGTTGAAATACAGGGAGAGGCATTGCCCTTCCAAGAAGGAGCTCGTCCGCTGCCTCATACCTGCTCCGCCAAAATACAAGACCCCTTTCAGATGGCCTCAGAGTAGGGACTATGCATGGTATGACAATATCCCCCACAAAGAGCTTAGCATTGAGAAGGCCGTGCAGAATTGGATCCAAGTGGAGGGTAACCGATTCAGATTCCCCGGGGGAGGCACCATGTTCCCTGATGGCGCTGGTGTTTATATTGACGACATTGCTAAGCTCATTCCTCTTAATGATGGGAACATCCGGACAGCACTCGATACAGGCTGTGGAGTAAGTAAAAATTTGCTTCCTTTGATGTTTTTATCCTTTACATTCTCGAACAACTATTTATTGGTCTAAATGCTCCATCCTCTCTTACATAGTACTTAGTGCAACTAATGATTCAATTAGTACTATCTTCTTAGTATTATATTGCAATTGCTACAATGTTTATCCTTTTGACCTTTTCTTGTCATGCTGGTGTGAAGGTTGCAAGTTGGGGTGCTTACCTGCTAAATAGGGACATCCTGACGATGTCTTTTGCACCAAGAGACTCTCATGAAGCGCAGGTTCAGTTTGCATTAGAGCGGGGTGTTCCTGCTATGATTGGCATCATGTCTTCACAGAGACTTCCTTACCCTGCAAGGGCTTTTGATATGGCTCATTGTTCCCGTTGCCTCATCCCTTGGCAAGAATATGGTAAGGAATTCATGTTTAAATATCATGCATGTGTAATCACAGGAAGGAGTAATGAACCTTTCTTTAGTTTACATGTTGAAAACTAAAATTAATATTCCCACATTCTCATCAATTGTTGCATTCTGAAAATTTTGAAATTATCTGAAAGTGTTTGTTTTAAATTTCCCAGATGGAATGTATCTAATTGAAGTGGACAGAGTTTTGAGGCCCGGTGGTTATTGGATACTCTCTGGCCCTCCTATTCGCTGGAAGAAATACTGGCAAGGTTGGGAAAGAACCAAAGAAGATTTGAAACAAGAGCAGGATGCTATAGAGAATGTCATCAAGCGTTTGTGCTGGAAGAAAGTGGTTGAAAAGGATGATCTTGCAGTGTGGCAAAAGCCCAGCAACCACTTTGAGTGCGTGAAGAGCAAGGATAGTTATCCTATGTGCAAACCAGACCATGCTGATGCAGCTTGGTACTTCCTCAATATGTCCCGTGATATAATCAGTTAATTTGACCCCCATACTGTAGTATTTTCTCAACTCTTCTTAATTTGTGCTGATCAAATTAGGTACAAAGAGATGGAAACTTGCACCACCCCACTGCCAGAGGTAAGCAGCCCAGATGAAGTTGCAGGCGGTGCATTGGTGAAGTGGCCTGAACGTGCGTTTGCCATTCCTCCCAGAATAAGCTGTGGTTCAGTGCCTGGCATCACCCCAGAGAAATTCAAACAGGATATTGAGACGTGGAAGGAGAGGGAGGCATATTACTCACGTCTTATTGTTCTCTTACCCAAAGGAAGATATCGGAATGTAATGGAAATGAATGCATACCTAGGTGGATTAGCAGCATCCATGTCGAAATATCCACTGTGGGTAATGAATGTTGTCCCTTCTAATTCCGATCATGACACTCTAGGTGTGATCCATGAACGTGGTTTCATCGGGACGTACCATGATTGGTGCGAGGCATTCTCAACTTATCCACGAACATATGATCTCATCCATGCTAGTGGTGTCTTCAGTATGTATAAGAACAGGTAGAGCTTACCTTGATGCTTCCGTATGCTCAATAATCACCTACACTATGTTGCAATTCTTGATCTTGTGGTTGAATATATTTCTGTTTTGTGTTTGAAGGTGCGACATTTCCTACATTCTTTTGGAGATGGACAGAATCCTGCGGCCAGAAGGGGCTGTTATAATCAGAGATGTGGTAGAGGACCTTGTGAAGGTTAAAAGTATAACAGATGGAATGAGATGGAAAGGCCAGATCATGGACCATGAAAATGGACCATTTAATCCTGAGAAAGTTCTTATTGCTGTCAAAAGTTATTGGACTGCTGAAGCTAAAAACGGATAATAGTACCTTTCTTTTAGGGGAGCCTAGATGGTATAAGCTCTGCTTCCCAAAGGGGAGGTTGAGTGTTCCAGCCCCATTAGGGGCAAAGTAATAGTGAGTGTGTGTGCGTCTACTTGAATTTCCGGAAAGAAAAAAAAGAGTGTGGTTTTGTTTTTATAATGTTCATACTTTAGTGGTGATTTATTTCCTCTATATATATCTTATTGTTATTTTCAGTATATTCATTGAGTCTGGGTAGTGGGTAAGGCTGGATGTGATAGTCAATGTTTGTAGAGGTAGGCTCTCAGGTTCCAGCCATTGCTGCTGTTCTTATGGTAGAGATCAATTGAATTATATTACATTTGAAAGGTGAAGGCTCAATCCTCAGCTTACAATCCGAATCTAAGCTAGGACTTATCCTCTCCAGTTGATCTACAATGTGCTTTTCTTGCTCATTTCTGGTCACCATTGCCTTGGTGTAGCAGAAATTTTGTGGCCAGTATGTGTAAATTTACGCTGAATTTCAAATTTCAAATCATCATTTGAAACTTGAATAATCTACATTTCCTCTTGTGGTTACCAAGTTTCTTGTGCTATAGATATACAGAGATTGTTGTCAATGTACTTGGATATAAAAGAATTTTATTTGGAAAAAATTGCTTATGCATATGTAAAATAAGTATGCAGATTTTGTTGTTTTTCCTGTTTGTTTTCCTGAGTTCATAATTATAATCAAGTTTGCAGAGAGCATTCATTCTGTGTAAAACAATTGTAAAATGTTAGTTTTATCTCTACTCTTTCCTTTTTCAACATTAGTAATGCCCTTTTTATACTGTGAAAAGGTTTTTTGATTGGTTGGTCATTCCATGAAATAATGGATGTAGTTTATCTAAAAGAAGATCTAGAATGAAATTTTTTTTGGCAATTACAGATTTACAAATGCACCAAGTAATCCATGGAGTATTTTTTACTGCAAAGACCATACATTTTGATTGTTTGGTAGAGGTCAATCGTTTCAAAACTGCAAAGCATCTTGCAGGTTTACAAATGTTGGTAAATGATTGTGATGTGGTACTTCAAATTGATACAAGACTGTTACCCGTAGATTGTAGACATTTTTCTCATCACTCTTTCCTTTTCACCAACTATCAATATGAACCCGATAATGCTAATTTCGAATGGTCTGTAAAACTCGACATATAAAAGGACACTGGATTAATGTCATCTTCGGTTTCATAAAATTGGTGTTGACGTGATTTGAATGCCATGGTTGTCAATCAAAGACAACATTGTCTATTGTCCTACGTATATCTATGGTACTAATATCAGTTTTTAGTTGTCACTAACTTGAATTGTTAATAAATGGCAGATTGCAGGTCACCCACCATATATGAACCAATTAATCATCTCATTCATGTCTATCTATCACTGTCAAGTAGGTAATAAAAAAAGTATACTACTGTCCAAGTCACGCCAAACTTCTGCATTGCAATGCAATAACATATTGGAGCGGTTTACCAACAATGGAAAAAGAATAAAATTGATAATGTTTACACCGGTGAGTAGTTTTACTTTATTCACTTCTAATATGTTCTAATAATAATATATTATAACTTTAATAATCAAATAACTCACGTTCTTCGGATCATATTATAGCTTTAATAATCAAATAACCCACATGCTTCACATCAACTATTAAATAATTTTTTATTAAAATAATACTTATCTACTCACTCTTCGTGTTTTTCAATAATCACATACCACGTTAGCTTTAATAAAAAAATTGTTTAATGGCTGAACCAAGAAAATACAGGAGAGGAGATCGCGGGTTATTACAACTATATTGGTTAGATATTTTAATTTGAATATTTTTTTATTAGTGTATATATATATATATATATTTTGTGGTTTTAATGAATTCTGAAAAAGTTCTCTCTGAAACATAAATGGTAGTGTGCAGGTCATGTTTCCCAAGAAGAGAACGAAATCACCAGCGTCGTGTTGAGTGACACACAGAGAGGGTCCGCACTCATACAAACACACATTTTAATGACTGACATATATACATACATATTCATTCCCATCTTTGTTTTGCTGTTATAGGCGTTGATTCGTGAACCAGCAAGTCGCATCTCCAATTTTGATTCTTTTGTTGTGCATTCGAGATATCAATGGAAATCAGTAAGTGCGTTCGATTCAAATTGTACTAATATACCTTATAGAGGTGTGTATTGTGGGAAGGTGAAAGAGATGGGGGACGCAGCGACGTCGTTGGAGCAATCGGCGACGAACGTGGAGGAACAAGTGTCTCGAGTGGCGGACATGGCCAAGGAGCTGCAAGAATCGGCGGCGCGTCTCGTTTCCAAGGCCACCGGCGACGAGCAATCCCTCCGGCAGCGTGCTCTCGCTGTCAACTCCTCCATCCTCAGACTCCGTTCCTTGATTGATTCTCTCCTCCATAACCACCTCCTCGATCCCAAGTTGGCGGATAAAGTTTGGTTCTCTCTCTTCCTTTTTCCAAATTATGACCAGGGTTTTTGAATGCTCTATAAAATCTAATTTTCATTTGTCAATTAACATGAACTGTGCATTTTATTTTTTGGGCTTTTGATGCTTTCATCTTTATATGTACTTACTAAACAGAAAGGAGCTGGATTCAATTTATGTGCTTTTTTTTCCTTTTTTTTTTTTTTTTTTTTTGGTGTTTTAAGCTTTTATCATTATTTATAGTTATGTATGATATTATGTATATTATATAAATGCAGCTAGAGGATGAACTAAACAAGGCGAGATGTCTATTGATTGATGGAGAAGCTGCTTCATTCCTTCCCGGCACAGCACAGAGTGCGGATTTGTTCCTATCATGATTTTTTTTTTTTTTTTTTTTTTTTTTTTTTAAATCTGATTAATAACGGCAATAATGATTTCTTTTGTGTTATCAACTTACCATACATTTTCACATACTCAACATTATAGGTGGTTTTCTGAAAATGTTTCTTGGTCCTATCAATGTGCGAGCTACTAGGAAGGATGTCCAGCTCAAAGTTAAAGAGGAGTACAATAGTTACAGGGTATCGGTTTCCTTTTTCTTAATCCAAACCCTCAGGCTCCTTTTCATTTATTTTATTTGTTTTGTTATTCATTCCATAAGATGATTCACTTGCATGCTATATTCTTTAGTTCTACAAATGCAAATCTTCATATGCTTACCCTCTATCATTGCTCACTTCTGTTAGGCAATCTCTCCTTTACAGTGGAATTGCATTTGATGGCTTTGTTTGCATTTTAAAGTCATGGTTTTCTCATGTATTTTTGGGGGTAGATAATGGATGATCATTGCTCATACTATGTGAGAATTATGTTTATGCTCAAATCTATAAACTCCTTGGACTTTTGCGGTGTCTGGTTTTGCTGCAAACAGGAAAATTTTATCCTTTCCTTTTTTCTTCTCTCCTGTTATGCCCCACCCTTGTTTATTTTAAAGTCTATCGTGCATGATGTCACTTCAGCTTCAACTTCGATCACTTTAGTCATCTGTTACTCGGATGAGACTCAGCCGATTTCCTGGGACTTGGTCAAGTCTTATGTGATTCCATTTTCCACCTATATATAAGTATCGAACTCGGTAAAATCTGTTAATGGCCAAAATGCAGAGACTTGGCCGAATCTCCAAACCATGAGCCATAAGCTTGTAATGGCTTTGTGAGATCAGAATTTCATTTGGAGAATATTCTTGTATAGGCTAGCTATAGATGCCATCAGCAGATCTGTTGCGGTTGACGGTGTAACACTTTATAGGCTCTGACACAAGGAACATTTATTCACAGCAGGGGAGCATAGTTCTGTCACGTTTGCTAGTGTATTGCTGTAGCCTTCCTGCTTTCTCATCCTTTTTTTTCAATTAAAAATTAAATTCCTGTGGTTTTAGGATCTTCATGAGGTCCGTGATTTATAATGTATCTTAAAAGTTCCAATTAAGTATGCCAAAACCTTGTAGCTCAAAGGTAAAATTGCTGGCCACTATCCAAAAGGGACGATGGACTTAGGAGTTCGATACTTCGCTCTATCATTTGCGAGAAAAGTCATCATCATGATCTTTTCCTTAATCACATATGAATGGAGTCACCAGAGAAAAGTATTTTGATTAAACAGTCTTCCAAATGTCATATATCTTATTGGGAACTTATTGTGGTCTTTAATTATGATGGACATGGTAAGTGAAGCTCTATAAATAAAAAATAAAAATGAAAAAATAGTTCCCAGAGGGATATTTCATAGCAATTAATTCTTCTTTTTCTTTGATCTTTCATTGTTCAATCAAAATCTGAACTTGTACTCCTTGTACCATGGCAATAGCATATCGAGTTTTTGATAAAGCTTGGACTACATAACGTATCTTACTCTGATCAAATACTCCCAAGCTTTTATCTATATTATTTTTATGTGTTTCTGCATGCTTATAAAGATATTCAATGTTAAATAATTTGAAGCCTTTCTTAGAGTACCTTATCTTTTGAGCAGGACCGAACGGCATTGCTGTTCCTTCTCTTTCCATCAACATTACTTATTCTTAGATCTTGGATATGGGATGGATGCTTACCAGTATTCCCCGTTCAGCTGTACCAGGTATCTCCTAACCAGTTCTTGCATTCTGAGTTTGAATGTTTTGCTGATTTCTCTGTAACTTCAATGTTCGGCAAATGCTTTGTCAGGCCTGGCTGTTGTTCCTCTATACAGGTTTGGCTTTGCGAGAGAACATTTTGAGAGTGAATGGAAGTGATATTCGTCCATGGTAATTGCGTAATACATTTTGGTCCATTGTATCTTTTAAACATTTATACTTCTCTGTTTCATGGTCCTTTTTTTAAAAAAAAAAAATCTTTTTCTTTTCATTTGCTCTGAAACCTTGCTTTCAGCACTGTCATGCCTGCATCTATAGGGAACAATCTTGATGCAATGCATCTGTTGCTTAAAAAATTATGTGCAAACTAAATAATGATTTGGTGGACGGCGGAGGCCAAAGCGAAATTAAACTTTTAAATATTAGAATATCTAAAAAAGCATGGTAATGAGCAGAATTGGTAGAAATTTATTCTGTGAAGCATAACATGGTGGAATAATTCTGTGAATTTCTTTTCTTTCTTTTTTTCGATGAATAATTCTGTGAAATTTTTAACACTAGTAGTCATGATTTATGACTTGCTGAGTAAATTTGGTCTTTGGTAACCCGTTCAGAACTTCAGAGGGAAGAATCACTGATTTGTCTCTCGAGAATTTTCTGTGATCTAAGGATAGAGGTAGAAGTGAGTTTCGTTGGTGATAGTGTATGCGCCAAAGTAACATTGGCTAAATGGAGATATTGCCTGGTCATATTAGTATTTGTATGCAAAGTGGAGCGTGTCTAGTGTAACAAGTAGCATCAGATGTTCCAAAAGACACAGTGTGTCTCTCTGCCAGATCAACCAAAAAGTAAACTGCAGAGAAAACCCACCTCAGCAAGCCCCCATTTTGGTTGTCAAGCCACATACCCCCATTATCAAACTATGGCCTGCTTTGAGTTTAAGGAGTTTCTTGAACCATATTGTTGATCCAAGTTAGTATTCGATGCATCAGGGTGCATGCATGCTGAGACGGCTTTTGATGGGACAAAGTGGGCCAGTGGGGTGGTGTAGGTGCAGTTTTGGGTGAAAGCCCACTACAGACAATGGAGATTTTGCAGTAAGAGATTGTAATTGTTATGGTGAACAAAATCAACAGTGGATGATGGAAATTGCATTGGATAGAAGATCATGTGAGGTAGTGGAGACACAACGTGTGTGGTTTGAGAGACTATCAGTTGCGGTGAAGCAAATCTATGCGATAAATATCAAGAGATCGGAAATTGCACATCATAGGAGATACCTCGAGCTGTTGGTGGGTTTGAAATATAGAGAAACCTTGCACTTTGTACCATTAGTTCAGGTGGAAGCACCTTGTGCTTTGATGGAGGACTGAAGTGAGTTATCAGAGAATACCTATGTTACATGGACACTTCCAAAGTAGGTGAAATACTGTGTTGGAGAGACATTATTTGGACATGGTATGGGATATGGCTCCGATACTTTTAGTTGGATATGCACCTAAAAAACCTATCTAATAATTCCATTTTAGTATATTATTACTTCAAATGAGTGAAATGCGTATATTGGTCACTATGTTACATAAAAACATTATTTTACTTCCAAAATTAAATAAAATGAATATTTAGTAGTGTCCATGTGTCCTTCTGTTTGATGCTTGGATACATACTGGTACTCGACACACGTACTTGAGTCCATGTAACATAGGAGAATACTAACATGTGTCACTATCTTGAAGAACCTTACATCTATAGATATGTATCCTCGTGTTTGTTGGAAAATGGATAGTTATCTGAATGGTCCCTTTTGGTGAGTTAAAGATATGACATGAAGATCATCACGGTGATTTGTTTGGCGAGGTGGAGAGTGCGTGTGGGTCATCATGGTAGTGGCATGGGAAACCTATGTTACATGGACTCGGGTACGGGTGTCGGACACGGGTATGTATCCGTGTGTCGAACGTGTCAAATCTCCAAATAGAAAGACACACGGACATGGCTAAATATTCATTTTATTAATTATTTTATTTTATTTTCTAGAGTAAAGTAATATTTTTATCTAATATGATGTTCAATATAGGCATTTAACTCATTTTAAAGTAATAATATAATGTAATTGAATGATTGGATATGCTTTTTAAATACATGTCCAACCAAAAGTGTCGGACACACATTCCATACCCATATCTGCGGGATATGTGTCCGGCACGGGTATTTCACTACTTTTGAAGAGTCCATGTAACAGAGTGGGAAACTACAAACGTTCCACACAATTGCTGTACGGAAGGCACATGGTGAGTTGGTGCCAGATAGTCATAGATTGCTCACCCGAAGGTGTAAAGTGTAACTTAACTCTATTATGGCCCTCCACTACCAGATCTATGTTTGACAACTTAAACCATTCAAAGATCTTACAAGAGGTTATATGCCAATTGATCCCATTTTCCCCCATTTGGGCCTATCGGCTTTCTTGGACATATTTTAACTTCTCTTGTGTTCATTCTAGGAGTTGGTATGCTTCATCTTGTGTTAATTCGGAGTACACTTCCAACCGTTTTTTATGCACCTGCTCTCTCATTTTTGTTGTAAAGACCATATAAAGATGTTTGGATTCTTGGGAGTCTTTTTATATGTTTAATATGTTATATCAAGGTCTTTCTCTTTTAGCATGGCACAGTTCCTATTTTCTTTTATATCTGAGCTGTTTTTTTCTTGAAAATTTGATGGTGTGGGTAGGTTTTTTGGAATATTGGATTCTTATGTTTTATTTGATTTCTTGTTTTATTGGCTTGTCCAAAAAATAAATGAGAGAGAGTGAGAGATTAATGTCGGTGAAATTATACCTTGCTAGGGTTACTGAGACCCGACGTTCATGTCAGTGCCATCCAAATCATCCCATTGGCTTCGGTCCTGACCAGTAGATGACTGATTAATCTATCTTATTTCCATCCCTACAACTGACAACATAAACTTATGTCAAATGTGCCAATGTAACAGATACTGTTGTAAAAAGTTTCCCCCTCGCTAGCATTTAGCATATCTGAATGATGATTCCGAAAATGCTTTTCAGGTGGATATACCATCACTACTGTGCTATGATTATGGCCCTCGTTAGTCTCACATGGGAGATTAAAGGGCAACCAAACTGCACCCAGAAGCAGGTTACTATCTCACTGTTATATGCTGGTTATAACTTATATATGCTATATGTGATTAATTACCATTTAAAGGGCAACCAAACTGCACCCAGAAGCAGGTTGCTATCTCACTGTTATATGCTGGTTATATATGCTATATGTGATTAATTACCATTTAAATCTTCCACAGAGAGGTGTCCAACTTTTCTTACAATGGGCTATGATGCAAGGAGTTGCAATGCTTTTACAAAACAGATATCAACGCCAGAGGCTCTATACTCGGATTGCATTGGGAAAAGTATCATTTCACATAACCTTCTTTTTTCTTTAAAAAAAAAAAAAAAAGTATTTCTCACCAACCTTTCTGCACAATTGTTATGCATGCTCTCTTTTTTCTTTCTTTCTTTGTTTTTATTTTCCTTTTATTTATCTTTAAATAGAACATGCATGCATGCCTTTTCCTTGCTATGATTTATTTAAATTCTTTCCTCGTGCTGCTCTTTGACATCTGACCACTGGTTTGTCTGGATCTTTTATGGTTGACATGGACCAACCTTAATTTCTAAAGCAATCTTTTTTGTTTTTGAAACATTTTTCCCTTTTTTTTTTTTTTTGTTTTTTTGTTTTTTCCCCCTTTTTGCCTTTAGATTCTTTTATTTATGTGTGCATGGTTTTACATTTCTTTTACTGTTTTCATCAGGCAAAGAGAATGGATGTTGTTTGGGGAGAAACAGCTGGGGTGGATGGCCAGTTATGGCTGTTATGTCCCATACTTTTCACTCTGCAGGTGATTCACGCTACCTGTTGACACGTACATAAATAGTCATGGAAAATGTGTTTAGCTTTATTCATCATTCTCTCAAGTACATTGGTCTGTTTCCACCAACGATTTATCTGCATCAACTAACTTGTTACATATTCATATGATTTATTTCAATGCAAATCAATAATTTAGTGATAGAAGCACCATGTTTAGTTAATAGCAGGCCCTTCAAAATACTGATATGATGCAACCATGACAGTCAAACAGCTGAGTAGTCATTTTAATATTCTAACAAAATATTTATACTGTTTTAAAGTGAATTTCTCCAATTGTTCCATGGAAATGTTGTTTCATTGTACACTTGTGCTTCTTCTTTGTTTTAGGGTTTCGAGGCATATGTCGGACTACTGCTGCTTAAGCCTGCATTGGTTGGGTTTGTTTCTGAATGGCAGGTATTATTATCATTATTATTTTAGTTTTTTTGGCGGCTACTAGTAAACAAGCATGGGCTGCATTCGTAGCAGAAAATGTGTAGTGACAGAAGCTGCTTTTGGCAGGTCATATTTTGTGGGGTCCTTCTGGTTCTGATGGCTGTTGGGAACTTCACAAACACGGTAGAGACACTCATGGCAAAATCCAAATTCAAGGCAAAAATGAAAAGAGTAAGAGCAAGCATGAACTAGATTAGGGAATCCCTGATATTTAGGGCTGATCCTCCATGGGACAGGGAATCCATTTTTGGGATGTTTTTCTGGATCTTCGTTGAAATCATAGAATTGATCTCATCTTACAATTCGAATTTTGATGTCATGTTCTCCTTGTTTGGTTACATCCATTTTTTTTTCTTTCTTTCCACACCCAAACCCCACTCCCCTCCCCCTTTTTCCTTTTTTTGAGGCTGACCATGTATTGCATTTGCTAAACATGTAATGAGTAAAATTAGTTTTGTTGTAGTATTCTTCCATTTGCAGTACTTGTCCAGCGTTATGTTGATCCATACTCTCATGCAGACAGGACTTTTCCTCTGATTTGTATTTATTCGAAGTTCAGAAACAAAATCTCACTAGTTATCTTAATTGAGTCATGATTTATTTGTTATTACGTTTGATTGCTACTGACCTTGTTTTACCGTCGGAATCGGGTAAGGAAATGTCAGTACGATGCTTTGCCTTTAGGAAAGGAACCGAATTCTGGCTCCAAATTCACATGGTTGTATAAGTAGGCAGGGTTGGCACATAAAAGTAGAGATGACTGAAATTCTGTACATGTCTATGTGAGAACATTGTTTATGAACTGGGTTTTAGTTTGTGACAGAGAAGTCCGAATTTGAAATCTGGTTGTTAACTTGTTCTGAGGAATAAAATCTTTTAGGATGTATTGTTATGACAAAAGTGTAGCACTGAGGCTTATATATTTCTTAGATCAAGAAACTAAGTTGCTTTAAGTTTACATGTGAAGCAGATGTGATATGGTTTACCTTCTAATAAAGCACTAGTTTCTCTATAGGAATGTTCCAAAATAAACAAAATTTAGTTTATTGTGTCCAGTCTTAATACAAAATTTTACTGTTTTAAAGAACAAGGGGAATCTACCTGGGGTTATATCTTATGAATTTCATTAAAGAATGCAGTCATGTCATACAAAACTTTTGAATTAACATATAGTTGTCATAGATTTGCATCTGCTACTGTGACAGTGGTTTGTTTATACTGTGATCACACACACATATGTGCATATGTGTGCGTTTTGTATGTTTAATTTATGAAAAGAAGTCAGGTTTACTAAAAGCAGGGTGATAAGAGAGAGGAGATTCCATTGAAAACAGGGTGATAAAAGTGAGGAGATTCCAATGAGGTAATGTCAAGAAACAAGCATTTTGGTGAATAAGTGCTTATACTCAGTCAAATCTTCTTGAAATTTACTAGTTTGTGGTCCTGCTGAAGATCGTCTTTCCCTTGACCTTAAGAATTTCGATTGAGAAGTAAAAGATAAGTTGACTTGATTTTTTTGATTGAAAAGTAAAATGGTTTTAGTTATTTATACTTTATCCTACATGTATTTGGGTAGTAGGATTGATATATTTTTATTGAGTAAACATTAGTAATAACGTGTTATGTCTGACTCAACTGATGCATTTACAATTAAAATTCAAGGGAGGTGGTTTGTGATTCAATTTGGAAACGTTATCTCATGGGCTATGACAATTTGATTAAATTGCACTTAGTTTTATTTTTATTGAGTTATGTATAAGTGGAGTCTAGTTGACATTTAAAATTGATACATTTACGATTTAATTAATCAACTGGTAAGCAACAATTCAGACAATCCAATGAGGGTGAGAAACATTTTATTGACTTTTAGTCTTTTACAGCACAAAAGAGGGTAGGAAAAAGTGGATACAGTGAGGTGACAGCATCAGAATGTCTACTCACATGAGCCTCCATTTAAGACATGGATACAATCAAGTACAACTATACACACACAAATACACACATAATACAAATATACTCACAAATACATATATATATTATACATTAGAGATTACCTATCGTATATCTACATAAGACGAAGAAATTATTAGATGGTCTTAAATTAATTAAAATTTATGTTCATGTTTTGTTTTTTTTTTTTTTAAATATAAATAGAAAGAGTTTAGTGTATGAGGTTTTGTCGGGATCCAGAGTTGATTGAATTTACGTTTCCTTGCCATATCTTATAAAAAAATTTACGAGTAAAATTTGATTGAATTGAATTGCATTGCATAGTTCCTAATTTTATTTTTTTATTTATTTTTATTTTTTATTTTTAACCCCACTTCGCAATTGAAATGCTTGAAACAGATTGAAAACAATAAATTGGGGCCTATCTTTAATTACATGTAGACTGTGCCAACAACACCACTTGCCAAACTAACTCTACTTCCATAGACTATTGAAACGCTTGAAACAGATTGAAAGTACCATCTGGGACCATCCTTAATTACATGTAAAGCTTGCCACCAACACCTCCTAAACTAACTCTTCTTACTCATGTGCTACATCTATTCATGTCTTTATAGATGATAAATTCTTGATAGATGCATCTCAGCACCTATAATATTCCTTCAATGCCCATACTCAATACACCACATATATATATACATACATATATTATATATATGTATGTATAAAATAAAAAATAAAAAGAAGAGAAAAAGCAAGAAACAAGTGGGGAAGTGTAGGAGTGAAGGCCATATAATATGGGCTGTAAAACTATAGGGAAGCACATGGGTTGTTGATGTAAGTGGAATATTTGGAGAGGGATTGCAGTTGAAACCTCCCACATTGCTAGTTGGCATACATGGGTCATGATGTAAGTGGAATCATGGGGGAACCAATTGTTTAGAATAACTCACATTCACACTTGTCAAAATGACAATTCATTACTATGTATTTAGCTATGGACCTTCTACATATTTTATCTTTATATATATATAATATAATATGTATACCACACACTTCTGATTATTTTGTATTTTTCTATCTTTTATTTTTCTTTCACTACAAAGCATAAATTAAATCATTGCACTTACTAACGGGACGTCTTTTGGATCCAATGGTGACGGACCACAACTGTGAGATTCTTAGCTTCATTATTACCTCAATTAAAAAAAGGCTTCATGAGAGAGAGAGAGAGAGTAGTGGCTAGATAAGTTGGTGTTGGTTTAATAGTTATATATATATATATATATTAATTTATATCTGTGAAACGACGCACATGGCTCTTTTTTTGGGTACCCATTTGGAGTTGTTTCCTTGAAAGATACTTAACCAGAGAGCCAGTTAAGTTGACAAGGAAAGATACTTAACTAGGGAGCTAATTAAGTTGATAGTTATAAAACCATGTGAACAACATACAATTATCGCTATTTACGGAATTTTTTTTTGTAATTGCCTTGATGGGCATGTGAAATGAAAGATTGTATGTGATTCATAATGGATTATGAAATTTTTTAGGAGGTCTGATATAATAGCTCACAAAAAAAATACAATTATCTTTAGTTTTGCCCTTCAACAATATATATATCTTTATTCTTTTTTATTATTATTATTGTTTTTGGTTTTGTGGCATTAGTTTCCATGGTTTTGGGTGAATAAATAAATGAATAACTTTATAGTCTCTATTGGAATATATACTTAATAACAACTTTATTGGATATTTTTTAAAGTTTATTTATTAACAATTTATACTGTGTTTGATTAAATAATACGAAGGCTGTCAAAAAAAAAATCATATCCTTCATGTTATAATTTGTTTAGAAAATTCTATAATATTTTGGCATCTTTAAACCAGCTTCACACGCTAGATGAAAACTAACATGCATGTGACGCATGTTATATAATTAAGGAATTAAGTTAGTACTGCACATTGGAAGGCTTGACATACACCAGATGTTGTATCATATGACTATACATAAAGATATGTAGTGACTTGAGCTATACGTTAAGTTGGAACAAGCTGATTGAGGAAACAGGGAATATTACTGTGTGTGTACATATATATATATATATATATCTATATATATGAATTGGTTTTCTTAATTATGTGCAGTCTTAACTTTGATTAGTGGGAGAACATTTTAATCAATTCAAGAAATAGATAGAATCATGTGTACTGATGCCCAGGCTAGCACAATTAGAAGTTAATCTGCTTCAAATTCTTGCATAATATAAATTAGAGCAGAAGACTAATGGGAAAAATGTTAAAGAAATATGATGAATAGGGAAACAGACTGGAGTGTTTCAAAGCTCAGTTACATGGAGAAGGGCATGGATAATTGGTTCAAGGAAGGTCATCTTGATGTTTACATATGACTTTTTTTAGACTTTGTACTAGTAGGAGCCTCGTGTAGTGGACTAGTCCTTTTTAGGTTTCGACGCTTGTGCGGTTCTGCCGACACAACAACAGGTACCAGAGCGTTTGTGGCCACAACAGAAAGGCACCATAGCCAACAACAATAAACATAAGAGCCCACCACAGTCAAGTTCTTGAGACTATGAATGCATCAAGGGTTTCAAAGAGGAAAACCAACTTTAATTCCTTTCCACTAGTGAAGTAAACCATGCACTTTGTTCCTTATTGCACTTCTGATATTCAGTTTCTCTTTCAACATTTATTTGTCTTTATAGTGATCAACTGACATAACTTAACTGAAAATTCAACAATGGTAAATCTTTGAGAAAATAACAACCAAGAAAGAAAAAAAAAAAAAGAAAAAAAAAAGAAGTTAAAATGAAGTCAATAAAAGATTAATAACAATGTGAAGATGAATGAAACCCCCTTTCCGCTTTCATTTCATTCAAACCAAGCAACTAAGAAAGAAACACAAAGCTTTCAAGTAACACTGCAGCTTCTTCTCCTGATTCGAGTGTCACCGATGACGAAACTCTTCGTATGGCAGATCAGTTTCTCTCTCTCTTCTTGGGCTGCATGTCTTTGTTCTTTTCTGTTTCTCTCGTTGCTGCTAAGCGAGCTTATTATGTCCATTTCAATTCAACCCCTCCCGTTTTACCTTGAAACGGTTCTTTATTCACTAACAAATCAATAAATTAGAAAAGATAGAATTGATCCATCTTAACAAAACTACTATACCGAAGAAGAGGATGAAGACGATAGTGATGTTGAAAAAGAAAACTCTGATGTTAGCCAATCTTGTTGCCGAGCTTCTGGCAGATACATACATATGGTACATTTGGTGGAGAGGAAACACAGCTCACTTCCATCACCAAGATTGGCAGGAAGTTACTGAACCATGGCCAAAAAAGAGGGTGCTCCATTCCCTCCCCCATTAGAGGAACCCGCATTCGCATTCTGTCTCTGGAACTGTATCTTATAAGCCATCTTCATTTGTTCTTCCGTCTCTTCATCATCATCATCTTCCTCTTCCTCTTCCTCTTCCTCTTCATCTAGATTATCGCTATTCGGTTCCTCAATCTTATCATAGTCATCCATCATCAACTGTTGTTCTTGTTGGTTTTGCCTATGTTGCTCCTTCATAGTGTCTTCTGGCTTCAATAGAAAAACAAGAATCAGCCCTTATACATAATTAATGGGCATCAAATACGTATTGTTTTTCCAATTTTAATTAATTACTTGGTGAAAGATAAAAATAAAAAATAAAAAATCATCTTGATCCTATTTTGGCCAAATGAATTCATTCCAATGCATAAATGAAAACAAAAATTAAAGAAAAAATTCTTACATTCTTAGCTCCTCCAACGGTTCCACTCGAGGTAGATTCCCCAAAGAGCGATGCTGCCAAACCTCCATTACTATTCTGCAAATTGGCATTGTCTCCGTCTTTCTTTTCTGATTCATTAGTCTTTGCAGTATGTGGTGAGGGCACTACCATAGGGACATCAGTAGTCCTTTCTTGCAACTTTGTAGTTGGGATTGGATTCATCAGCATGCTTTCCTGCTGTGGTTCTTGTCTGTTCTCGATGGCCAAAAGATTACCGCTAGTACCACTACTGCTGCCGGTGTTGCCAATGATCTTCTTCCTGTACAATGCATCTAACTGATGAAAATAAGGGCAGGTTTTGGCGTCTTCCGGCCGTTTCTTGTTGCTTTCCTTCACCTTCTTGAAGTACTTGTTGATATTCTCCCATTTTTCCTTGCATCTCTTAGAACTCCTTTTGTATCCCATCCGGTGCATCCCCGCGGAGATCTCTTCCCAAAGAGGACCCTTTGGCCCTGCCTCTTGGTACCTGGACTCAAGCCCACTTCTCAGATTTATCAGTGCAAGGACTTCGGCCTTTGGCCATCTCGAGGAGGTAGCCTCAAAGCTCCCACCTCCACTCATCTCCTGTGGTGGCACCTGTTGTTCCGGGACTGCCATGACTACTTCAGTAGAGATGGCTGATTGATGATGCCTTACGACTTCAGCACTTTGATGAAGCTGTTGCTGTTGTTGCTGCTGCTGTTGTAGCTGCTGATAATGTTGTTGTTGCGGTTGTTGTTGTTGTTGTTGTTGAGGTCTTTGATATTGTTGCTGTGATGGTGCTGGTGCTGGTGCTGGTGCTGGTGCTGGTGCTGGTGCTTGGGATGGTGGAGGGGGAATGATGATGGGTGGCGGCGGTGGATCTGCCGGGATTGTTACAGGATTTGGTAATTGGATGGTTTGGCCAGTGATTTTCTGCAGGAAAGATATGATGGCAGCGTCCCTCGAGGCGGAGATGGCTCGTTCCTGAGCCATGATCTCATGTTCACGGGCCAGCCTAGCCATCTCTTGCCTCTTCCATGCCTCTTCCCTAATCATCCTGTCTTGCTCTCTCTTCTCAATCGTCTCCAAGAATCTCTTCTGCATGGCCTCCTGTTTGTGCATCACCTGTTTCATTAGTCCCTCGAAGAATTCCATCATCCTCTTACTAGTACTGCTCTGAGATGATCCCCTTTTACGCTTGCGATGCCGGGTATTGCCTGGTTCATCTTCCATCTCCATTTCCTCCGCCTCCAATTCCTCGTCCTCCGCCATGTCCTCGGAGCCTGAAGAAGAGGATTCACTATCCGTTGAGAAGCTAATTCCTAAAGCGGCAGCTGATGGCGGTGGTGCTGTACCTGATCCAGACACTTTAGGTGCTGCGCCGCCACTGAAATCCTGTGGATACATGAGATTCACCCCTATGGTAGGTGGTTGGGGCTGGGGAGGCATGGCTGAGATAGTAGTAGGAGTCCTAATTGATGAGATTGGCATTGGGTTGCTGATCCCCATCCCAATGGACACAGGAACAGGAGCAACAACCAGATTGGCAGCGGCTGTGGAGGCGTTCACGGCGGTGCTGGGTAGCGCCATGGTGGCTGCTGATGCAGCAGGTAAGGCGGGGACGTTGCCGCTGGCGGAGGCACGTTGTAGAGCTTCAAGCTGACTGAAGAATCTATAGCTTTTGCCATCTTGACGACCTGCCCGACCTTCCTTTGTTCGCTTGTAGTATTTGTGAACGTTCTCGAATTTCTCCTTGCATTTCTTGGCACTCCTTTTGTATCCCAGCTCTGCTAGCTTCCTGCCAATAACATATATAAAGAACCAAATTACACAAATTCAAACCCAATATATACATATACATATATATATATATATAGATATATATTTCTGTACAACCACTAAATTGTTCTCATCATCATATTCACAAAATTTAAAAAAAAACAATGAAAACAAAGTGACAACCTCCACCAATCCCTTTCAGTCCTCCCACTGATTTTTTTTTTTTTTTTGTTTTATTTTTTCCTCTCCCTCTCTGGGCTCACTCTCTCATATGCTCATGATGTAAAGAAGAGAGGATTAGATAGAGAAAAGTTAAATAATCTTTTAAAAAAAAGAAAAAGCAAGGAAATAAATATAATACGGTTCTCGGGATTTTCACTTTTCCAAGAAATGAATAAAAAAAATGGGGGTATGTGGCGATTGGCTAGAGTTGAAGCAATGGATCTAAGCAATTCTGAAATACTAAAGATGCCCCATCTCTCGGAAGTCGTGACGGAAACAGATAGAAGCCATGTGCGTTCGTCTCTTGTTGGACAGATAGATAGATAGCTAGAGAGAGAAATAGTTAGAGAGGAGAGAGAAAGAGAGAATAGGGGTCAGGTCCTAAAAGAATGGCATTGCCAATGACGGTCACTACTCACAAGTCCACTGCCGTTAAGTCGAGGAAATTGAAAGCGTTAAAAGAATCCGTGGTACGAAGGTTCAGATCGAAATGGAATGAGAGTGAGAGCCTTCCTCTCTCTATCATCACTCTCTTTCTCTCTCTCTCTCTCCATACTGTTTTTACTCTTTGCTTTCATTAACAATAATTACTACTATTCTTAATGATGATCGGAGCTGAAACCCAAGACACCCCATGTAGCCAGTACTGAAATTCTAGTTGTCTAGGATTCCGTTTAAGCACACACCCACACACTCTCTCTCCATAGATATATATAAATGATTGTGCTCTAGAACATATGTAGATCTATGAGCTTCATAATTAGAAAGAGAGAATTGAAGGAAGAAGAAAACAACCGAAATGAAGGCAATGATTTCTTTGTACCAAATGACAATTATATTTGTAGAGAGAGAGAGATTGGGGGTTGAGTGCGGGTTGAGATGGATGATGAGTGACTAAATGAATAGTAATTTGCAGCTAAAATATGGTATCACTTTCAAATTCTAAGAGTGAAGGAATTGAGAAAAATGGGGAATTCTGAGATTTGGGTAGTGGCGTGGTGGTTGCGGATGAGATGGGTGTTACCTGGAAACATCTTCCCAGAGGGGCCCTTTGAGAGTGGCATCACGGAAGGCCGCATCCATTTCAGACCTGACCTTAAGAAGGGCCAAGGTCTCTTGCCGTGGCCACCTGTTCCCTCCTGAAACTCCTCCTCCACTTCCACCCACTCGATCCGCTTCGTCGCCGCCAAGCGGGTCTTCATCGGGCAATCCACCACCGCCGGAGACAGGCAAAAGATCCTCGAAATTCCCGGCAACGGCAGGGGGCCTGCAGCTGATGGGTGAGGCTGCTTCTGCAACTCCAAGGGACGGATCTCCTAATTTGAGCTGCTGTTCGTGGGCTCGTGGGTCAGTTCCGGTGGCGGCATAGGGTGGCATCTCAGCCGGTGCTCCTCCGTATTGGGACCCTCCACCACCTTGCTGCTGCATGTTTAATTCTTCAACTCAATTCCCCCTGTAGCTACTCCCTCCCTAATAGAGAGAGGGGTATATGCGCTGTAGCTCTCTCTCTCTTTTTTCCACTGTGTAACAAACAGTAGCCTCAGAAGTGGTACAGATTATAACATAAATTTAGTGTCTTCTCCTTATAATTCTGTTAATTTCTCTTTCTCTCTCCTCATATATTCACTTGAGATGATATATATGAGAGAGAGAGTGGGGAGGGAATTGAAAGATGGGATTGAAGGTGGTGGTGGGTAAGAAGGAAAGAAAAGGAGAGGGGGAGAGAGAAGATTTTGTTTGGAATTGAATTGGTGAAAGATGGGATGGAGGGATGTTGTTAAGGGAAGGGGGTGAAAAAAAGATGGGACAGACAACTGGAAAGATAGGAAGCTGCCTACGAGTTAGTGCTGGCAATATAAATTTGATATTTATTCCTCTCCTCTTATATTATACCCCAAAAATTAAAAGAAAGCAGTAAAGAAGAAAGAGAAGATGGGATCGATTAACAGCATAATCATAGTCACCACCATCAAACTGCACTGCAAGAATCAATGAGAGAGAGTACTGAAGAGAGATGGGGTTGGAGAGAGAAAGAGAGAGATATGACGATTATGAGGGTGAGATGATGATTAAGAGAGAGGAAGTGATAAAACAAACGAGATGCTGCGTTGTCAGTGGTTCACTTTGCAGCTAATAATTGTTGAAACCATTACACTCATATATATCTATATCTATATATACACACACTACAATGAAAGCATGAAAATAGTAACCAAAATGATGTCCAAACTATTGCAGAATTACACTCCACTCCACGCACGGCGACACAGTTTATTATCTCCCGTACATTTTCCAAACTTAACAAGCTCTTATGTGAAAATGGTACTAACCATAAAATAAAATAAAAAATATAGAAATAAAAATAATATTATAATAAATATATATATATATATATATATATATGTAAATTTAAAGTTTTATCACAATTCTCTATATGATTAATTATTTCATGATTAGGGTCTACCGCGTCATCGTGCCGTTACGGTGGACCAAATTTATCAAAAATTAAATGCATGTAATGAATATTCGTGAAATTTAAATTTTACAATGAATGCCTGTAAATATCGAATATTCGTGAAATTTGAATTAAAAATATTATTAAAATAATTATTTATGTCCATATATATTAATGATTAATCTGATTTCACGTGAGAACACAATAACCTGATAAACGATGGACCAAATTCATAAAAATGTTAATTATGATGGTAAGAATCATTTAAAGGTCCTCAGGGGTACAACGGCGTTGATAGGAATTCGGAAGGTAAATTCTTGAGATCTCGTTTTCAAACCGCACTCTTGACTTGTTCGAACCACACTTCTAACTTGCTCAAAAAAATAATAATAAATAAATAAAAATGGAAAGGAGGAGGAGAGCATGAATATCTTTCAGTTGCAAGTGAAAATTACTTGTGTACTCTATGTAAATAAGTTTATTTGGGTTTTTCTCAATGAGATATATATATACACACACATATAGCGGAAGGAGATAATTGATGAACTTTAAGGTCTATTTATAACCCTTCCTAATAACTTGCATAAGATAGAACCGTTAAAAAAACTTTTAGAATGTTGACTAAATGAACCTATGTGTCGGTAATGTGAATTAATATATGTGGTTTAGTGAGTTTTGTCTATTTATTAGAACTCTAATTTTGTTAACTCACTCACTTTGGCCATGTACATTTCTGTCACGAAAGTGTATCTCATGCCTAATTTATGTCAAATGTTGTGTTGGATTGGTTCAGACCTTTCGAGAGTCCGAGTGTATCGATTCATTGTTATTAAAATAAGGATAAAGTGGGGAAACAAAGCTGCTATATAAAAATTGTGCAAAAAAATACTTATAGTATGTACATATAAATTTCTATAATTTAAAATTATCGTCAATTTTAATTAATTTTTTATATATAAAAATTCCAAAACACTCTTAAAGTCATTTTATAAAAATCCTATATTTTTTATAATAAAAAAATTCAAAATTTTAAAATTAGTGTTTTTATTTTATTTGGTCTTAAGGGCATTTTAGGTATTTTATTTTTAAAATTGAGAAATTGTCCTTATTTGCTCGTTTTGAAAATTATAGGAGCTTTGTTTTTTTAACACTAAAGAAATATTTGCACATATGTGTAGTGGAGTTTTTTGTACTTTGTCTTTATCCTTTAAAAAAAAAAAAAAAATGGTTTTGTTTTGTTTAATTCAAAATCTTGTCCAATTCTTTTCTAAACATTGTCTAGCAAGGATTAGAATATACAAGGTAAGTTACTTGCAGAGGCTAACAACACCTACATTGCCTTGGTTCCAAAATGCTAAAACCCTACATCACTTCATGACTACAGTCCTATCTCTTGTGTCAATACCTTATACAAGTGCATCTCAAAACTGCTTGCAACAAGACTGTAGTCTACCCTGCCTCACCACATTGACCAATCCCAGTCAGTATTTATCCATGGAATGAGGATTGCAGATCCTATACTTCTACCCCCATGAGCTTCTAAGAAGGTATCACAAGCATGGAAGACTAGCAAAATGTGCAATCAAGGTGGATCTTAAGAAGACATTTGACTCAGTGAAGTGTGATTTCATTATTAGCTGCCTTTCTTTACACAATTATCCTCCAAAATTTATCTCTCTCATCAAAACATGCATTTTTTCTCCCTCATTTACAATAGCTCTAAATGGTGAGTTCCAAGGCTATTTCAAAGGTAAAAGAGGTCTTAAGAAAGGGGATCCCATCTCCCCATTCCCATTTGTGATTGTTATGGATGTTTTCTCCTCAATTGTCAATAATTATGTGGGAAGGGTGTCCTCTTTCAAGTTCCTTTGGAGGTGCAGTGAACACAAAATCACCCACTTGTCCTATACAGATGATTTGTTACTATTTTGCCATGGAGATATTACCTCGGTCTTAATCCTCAAATCAGCACTTGATCTTTTTTGCTCTATGTCAAGCCTAGACATTAACCTATCAAAGAGTGAGGTTTACTTTTATGGGGTTAATGACCACACACAGCACCAAATTTCTACATTGCTTGGTATTCATTCAGGCACACTACCAGTGAAATATTTAGGAGTGCCATTGATTTCTATAAACTTAAAGACTGAGCATTGCAGCCTATTGGTAAGCAAAATTACCCACAGAATCACTAACTAGACTTCTAGATCTCTCTCATATGCAGGTAGACTCCAATTGATAAATTCAGTACTGGTGTCAACACAGAACTACTGGTGCAACATCTTCATCCTGCCAAAGGGAGCCATTGATGAACTCAACAAGATATTTAGGAGATTTCTGTGGTCAGGGCCAAAAATGAAATCTTCTGGGTCAAAGGTTGCATGGAGCAAGGTGTGTAGTCCTAAAACTGCAGGTGGATTGGGGATCCCCAATTTAGAGGTTGCAAACAAGGCTGGAATAATTAGATTCATTTAGAACCTCCTCAAAGATGACACAAACAGACTGTGGGTTAGGTGGTGCCATTCTCATCTACTGAAGTCTAGGAACCTATGGACATTGAACTACCCTCAGCCTTATTCTTGGAGTTGGAGGAAAATCCTCCAACTAAGGCATCCTGCTAGACTACTCATAAAGCACTCTATAGGCAATGGTGTTATCACATCCTTTTGGTGGGACAATTGGGCTCCTGGGGGTCCTTTAAGTTCAAGATTTCTAGTTGATCTACTCACTGCAGCTGGTTTCAATGGTACAACAACTATGGATTTATTCATTGTCAACAACAAATGGTCATTCCCTCCCTCTCTCACTCGTGCAATCCCAGAATTGCTCTCGCTACTTGATCCATGCCCTTCTAAAAGTGACAGTTTGAAGTGGACAGCTTCACCTAATGGCATCTACTCATTCAGATATACTGTGGCACACATGGTAGGTGACCTTCCTATTGTCCCATAGCACAACCTTGTTTGGCAATCCCCAACCATACTAAGAATGAAATTCAATCTTTGGCTGGCTGCTCAATGCAAACTTCCAACACTCGACAGTAAATCTATGGCTAAACACCATACTATTTGCTCCCTCTGTAACATATCAAGTGAGTCGCATGATCATTTATTTTTTAATTGCTCCTTCATTTCCCCTATATGGTGTTTTATCAAATATAAGAGCAACATTCAAACTGCGATTACAAATTGGGAGAATCTTGTACTATGGATAAGTACCAAATGGAAAGCAAATACTCCTACTAACCTACATAGGAAATTATGTTTATCTGCTTTGGTATACCATACCTGGGAAGTGAGAAATGCTAGAATTTTCAAAGGGCTCAAATCCTTACAGAGAGTTGTCTGTTCAAAAGTTTGCTCTACAATAGCAGGTATTTTGAAGTTAGGCTGTTTGAGAGAGTGCACTTCAACGAATTTGATCTTTATGGATTGGAATTTATCTCATTCACGTTGTAAGCCTCCCCCTCGGCAGCCAGATTGAGGCTTCAAGGCTTTGCCCTCCCTTTTTGTCTTCACCGGAATGTATTGACGCTTACCATTAACGGTAGTCAGTGGTAGTTTCTTGCTTTTATGTTGTTTATCCTTGTTTGGACCTGTTTTGCAGCCTTGAGCTTGCTTTTTCTTTTGGGCTAAGCCCTCCTTTTGTACAGTTCTTTCATTAATGGAAATTGCTTAAATTTTCGAAAAAAAAAAAAAAAAAAAAGGGATTGGTGTATACTCCCTCTGTCCCAAAAAAACAAATATCCTTTTTTTGATAATATTATTTTTTAAGAGAATGAGTTTTATGTATTTCTTTTTATTATATTGAAATGTAATGAATTATCAAATCTATTCACAATGGTCTATAGTAACGTGATGATTTACATTTTTCATAAGTTCAACGTATAAATTTTAAATTGATAATGTTACAAAAATAAAAAATACTCCTTAATACTTTGACTTTTCAAATGTAACATTTAGTTTGAAATAATAAAAAAAAAAGGTAAACATTTATTTTGAGACCGAGGAGTTTTATATATGGATTTATCAACATTTCACTTTCCAATGTTAAAATTATTTTAAAATAAAAATAAAGCAAAAGAGCAAAAAGCTCCCCTAAACTATACCATTGTAGCATAATGCTGCCCGAACTATTTTTGGAAGCAAGTTGCCCCCTTGAACTATACTATTGTTGCAAAATGCCCACTTAAAGGCCATCGGAGGCTAATTTCCGGCCAACAGAGATACAATTACTAATATACCCTTACTTGATAATTTATTATAAAAGATATGAAATATCATGGGTACAAAGTACCAATAATGCCCTCATATTTTTTATATATATTTTTTCATCTTCCATGCTGCCATGACTGTTCGGTGTGGCGTACCTATCATCTAAGGTGAGAGGTGTGAATAGAGGAGTTTCATGAGAGGGTGGTGAGAGCTCGTGAAGAGTCCATTGATGGAGCTTCCGAGGGATTCCGGCAACCATCTGGCGACCACACGGTCATCTTCTCACTCAACGACGACCTGGTAACCTCTATTAAAGGCGACCCACCTTTCCTAAACCGTTGGGTAGCTTACAACCCTTACCACATCGGTGACGGAAAAAAATCGACGCCGTCGTTGAAAAGCCATGTGGCAACAAAGTTCGAGGCAACGTTGACCACTTTGATCAACCGATCAATCTCATCTTCGATGTCAAACCAA